CACCTACGTCATACGTCTTTCGTTCTTAATCTTATATTCCAATTTAGACGTTTTAATAAAAAAAAAATATATTAATATACCCGCAGAACTGTTATATCCTGAACATGCCCTATCTTTAGAATTATTTACTACTTCAACAAAAATATTTTTGCCTAGATCATTTACTCTGTTTGTATCCTTTTACCTTTCATACTCGATGTACGATTACAGATTTTCTTTAATAAAATAAAAAAGAATCTTCTACCAGCTTAACACCTAACGTGGTATTGCTTTCTGTTTTGAAAGATAACATGTGCTTATGTAAATATACAGTAAAGAGAGAACGGATGAGAATCATGAGACAGACAGATAGACAGGGAGAGAGAGAGAGAGGGAGAGAGAGAGAGAGAGAGAGAGAGAGTGGGAGAGGGGGTGTTAATAGCCGACAACAAATGTATTCACCTTGTAGGATACATTTTACTTTTTGACCATATGGCTCCGTTTAGTCTCATTTCACGACGCCCCCTATCGTCAGAGCATGGTCAGCGTCAGCAGCCTAACATGTTAGCCTATGGACGTTTTTTTTTAAAAATCGTTAAAAATTCATTTTTTGTTTAAACGAAAAGCACATCCACCCCGACGTACGTTATCACTAGCTCTTTCATTTGAGCCCTCATGTCTCATTGACTTTTGAAAGTTCACCCACCGTAAGTTTTCAAAATAGGTTGCAAGCTCGTCATTGCCTATAATACACATGTGAAACAAGTCTAACTTTGGACTCAGTTTACCAAGCGATTTGAAGATTATAGGTCGAGCACACGAAACATAAAACGCATGAATTATCATAGATCACTTCTGCCTATTTCATTATGTCCATTTCATCCAAACCCCCACCGTAATTTTTCCATTTAGTAAAAGCAAACATTTTGCCGAGTTTAGCAAAAACATGAATATTCATGAACGGTCAGACAATACAGCCTTTTAGTACGTAACGTATAGTGAATGGGAATGGGCGATGATCCGTTCAGGAGGTAGAGGTCAGTGGTTTGTGCTGGCAATGTTCACGCTAGCGAAAATGAGACAATCGGAGCAATATGGGTGACTTTGCCAACGCCGTTTGGGATTCGTGTGTATAGTGTATGTGCAGTATACTCCCGCTCTCCTCGCACCCCATCCTCGCACTGTAAATTATATTTTTGTGTATAACAAATCCAATTTCATTTATAGTGATGGGGTGCTTATTTCAAGTGTACTCACCACAACAAAGGTAATTTGTTTACAACATACAAGAATATATAAAATCAACCTAGATAAACATTTCCTTGACAATCCATAAAGGTTAACAGTAAGGAGTGCATACAGTCTCTATATCAATGACCTCTTCTCTCTTCCCGATAATAAGAAGCGGTTTTTCGCGTTCATCAGAGAGCATAACAGGAACGCTCCTCCGCCAGTTCTTGTTGTTGATCAGGAAGTCTTCAGCAAACCCCCCGACATCGCAAGTAAGTTCCTCAGCTGTTTTCAATCATCCTTTTCAGAGGAAAGATGTGTGCCAGATATTCCACCGAAATGTGACTTTCCGATCGAATGCTTGCAGTCATTTAATATTTCGACTAGTGATATCTATCGACGCATGGACTCACTTCAAGTGAATAAGGCCTCTGGTGTGGATGGTTTGTCGCCTATCCTGTTAAAGCGAACCGCCGCGGTGTCTTCACATATATTTCAGCGTATTCTCTCATTGTCACTGTCGGCAGGCACAGTTCCGAGATCATGGAAGGTAGCGAATGTCTGTCCCGTTTTTAAATCTGGCGACAGGTCAGATCCTTCAAATTATCGGCCTGTTTCGCTTACCTCAGTTGCCAGTAAGATGATGGAATCTATTGTAGCGAGCGCAATTGAAAACCATCTCAGTGCTAACTGCCCTATCACCAGCGTTCAGCATGGATTTAGAAAGCGTAAATCCTGTGTAACCCAAGTATTACATCTTACGAACGAGTGGCTTACCTGCCTGGAGGGTCCGCGTTCATGTCCTGTCGATGTAGTCTACTAAGACTTTTTGCGTGCATTTGACAAGATGCCCCACGATGTCTTGCTTTGTAAACTTTCAGAAATGTTCAATATTGGCGGTAACCTCTGGACATGGATGAAATCCTTTCTATGCGGACGACGCCACCGTGTCCTATACAAAGGTTCCTTCTCTGAGTGGGCTTCTTTCCGGGGTCCCTCAAGGGAGTGTCCTAGGTCCGCTTTTGTTTAATTTGTTCATCAACGATGTACCTAATACCTTGGAATCTCCATGTGCATTGTTCGCGGACGACACAATCATCTATCGACCTGTACGTGATATCACGGACTCTTCAATATTACAACGTGATCTTGACAGGGTTTCGCACTAGTGTTTCCGATGGAAAAAAGCTCAATGTGAACAAAACGAAAGTGATGCGAATTTCATGTTCAAGGAAAAACGTTGTCGAACCAGTATATCTTTTGAATGGAGCTCAAAATCGAGTCAGTGTTACAAACCAAATATCTAGGGGTGATTATCAATACCAAGCTGTCTTGGGATGATCACGTTGATTACATTACCCGCAGAGCCAATAGATTGCTGGGACTGATCACCTCCATGTCATCAGGCTTAGCAACTTCAGCTCTTCTGGCACTTTACAAATCGCTAGTACTACCGTTACTAGAGTACGGCTTACCTGCGTGAAACCCCACCAATAGGAATCTCTGTGACAGACTTTTCAAAGGAGAGCAACTCGTATCATCCTGTTACAGCGCAGGCAGCAGTATCCCGAGCGTCTAAGACTCCTGAATTGGGTCTTGCTAGAATCCCGTAGGAAATACTTACTCATCAAATTCGTTGCAAAAGCTCTCTACAACATCGTCGAGAGCAGTGATATTTCTTCGAAAATCAAAGTCATACAAAGAAGACAAGAAGATATCAGGTTCCATCACCTGATGGCTCGTACGAAACGCTTAAGTGACTCCGCTATGTACGTGTGTCTTAGACTGTGGGACGAACTACCCCGGGACTTGCGCATTGACTTTGTACTCAGACCTGGCAACACAGGCTGAAAAGTCATATCTTCTTTGATTGACTTTTTCTCTTGAAGTCTTTGTTTAATTTAATTTACGAGAGATTAATGTAATAATTACGGTATATTTTATAATCATTCATTCGTCTACTTCTCTATAATATTCTTCAACCAAAACTGCAATCTTGATTTTATTATTGTTATGTCTTTAGAGTCTTTTTTCTTTCTTTTTTCTTCCATTATTTAAACATCTTCTGGACGTTTCAAACGCAGCTTCTTTATAAATTGTTTGCATAATATAACATATAATATGAAGTACTGGTTCTTGAATGTATTCGTTCTCTAGTTTCCTTACTCACCTGAAGCCCACTAAGCCTATGTATCTATTCACTTCCTTTAATGTTTTCGTAACTTTTATATACCGGTTATTCTGTATGATTTTAGACATTCTTGTCAGTGCGCTACTACATGCTCTCACTTTTTTTTCTTTGCTCAGTTTTATACTTCATGGTTTCAGTTTACCTACTAGACATTTTATGCAATAGTTATTAAGCCAGACTTTATTCCTCATGTTAATGATCAGTATCGTGTCATGACCTAGTGTCATCATACATATTAATTTGATGTCCCCCTTGTGCTTTTTTTTTGTTAGCTGGTTTGATTATGAAATGTTATACATTCAATTACCTTCATGCTATATTTTGCAGGTCTTCTGGGTGCACCAGTTGGTCGGGAAGAGGGACCATTACGGTTACAGTGATTTAGTTTGCTTTCCTCTTCCCTGGCAGCCAACTGATGCACTCAGAGGACCTCCATGAAAATTATGCATTTATAATTGACATTCTCTTAATGTTTGTTTACCTATATTTACATTTTTATATTTTTGTGAATTGCCGAATAATTTTTTTTTTCTAAATAATAATAATAATAATAATAATAAATCAATAAACACAAAGGATAACATAAAATCTCATAATTCAACACTGATTGCTGTTAAATATAGTGAATTTGTCCATTTATTCGCTTCTTATAATTTCTTAAACCTTAATTAAAAATAGAGCTTCACGCATTATTGAAAGATACAACAAGCTTTCATTTTGTGTTGCTATGTCCATGTATAGCAGACAACGCGGTGATTAAAACTATATTTTTATATAATCGTCAGTTTTCAATAATTATGCTACTGAGGTGACCTTATGATGTAAACCGAATAAAGCAAATAGATTAGGAATAAAGTTGGTCTAGGCAATAATTATCAAACCATCCATTTGCAGCTATATTTGGAATATTGAGACGTTTGAAACAAAATTGATTGCATGCTATATTAATACTATAATATGCTATATGCTTTGACTTCATCGTTTCCTTTAAACATTTATGTTACGGCTGAATGATATCTGATTTTGGAAATAAAGTCTTTCTTTAAATGAGAAACTCAATATTTAAAATTTAGTACTTTCTACGTATACATGTCTATGGCTGAAATGAATTATACTTGTCTGTCAACAAATCGATTTAATAAAGAACACCCGGGCACCCCAATGCTGGAAAGAAACGCACTATTTTGAAAACTACACTTTTTCATTCCAAAAAATGCTTATTTGTTATGCACGCAAGTTAGATTGAGCGGATGATACAACGTTTCCATATGTCAAAGCCGAGGTTTACAGCTAGGATTCTTCCTTTCACAATACAAATTGATATAATAACATTAGACATAATAACACATGAAATAAAACACATCACGCATGTGCTGTAGCCAGGGGCGGCGATTTCTTTGCATGACCGAGGGACGAAATGCGAGGGGAAATCTGTATTTCGTTGGTATCACGATGATACCAACGGAATACATAGTCTTTCCACAATATTTACGTGTACATTTTGAAGGATACTATGCGAGGGAAAGTAGTTATCGAGCGAGAAGATTTTTGCATTTTTATTATTCCAAAATACTGCTCTCTTTCGCCCTCCAGAGCCTAAAAGTGTGTTGCAGTCTTTAGTCAGTATTTGCTATACATATTTTTTGGCACTTTTTCAAATTTTCCGGGGGGAACGATCCCTTGCTGTAGCAGCGATGACGGTTTCACGAAACCGAATCCCTAATAAATGTTGGAGTGTTTTTGTACGACTGAGCCTAACCCAAATAATCTAGACAAAACAATACACTTCACTAAAAATAAATAAATATTCCAATAAACGAAAGATGCTTAACCTATGTTGTAATGTTTGAACGTACACAAATAATCAAACTTATTTTAAGTGAGAAAAATAACTATACATTTTAGTAATGAGAATTTGCAGTGTGTTTACATGTGTTATGTGCTCTAATATCTATAGTTGCTGTTACACTGTATAAACAATTGATACATACGCACGTTTAACTTACATATTTTATCATTTAACCATTATCACACATCATAATAAATTAGAAGATTAAAAGAAATCTAGAGATAGACAAGAAGTAAATTTGTCTATTACTAGAGGTTCTCCTTAAATTTGCGTGTAAAAAGTGACGCAGTTCGAGTGGATCCAGTCATTTAAGGGGCAGCGGCATCATAGCAGGGGGCACCCGATGGGGGCAATGCGGCCCTGCCCCCACACTGTAGCCAAGCCATTGCAGATGAGTATTACTTCATTTGATTAATTTCACTTTGCATATATATATATATACATGAAGAAGTTAAATTTGAAGAAGCCTAGATTGGATTTAAGTCGAATAGGTTACAGCTCCAGGGCGTTCTTCATAGCCGGACTTTAATGTCGACGGGCAACTCTCGGCAAGAAGGCATGTCCTCTCATGTGCGATGTACGTGAAGCATGAGCAGAGACGGTCATTTAGGCACCTGTGGCCGCAAGCGATGACGGTCGAAGCGGTATACGATGAGCGGACGAGGACATCGACGAGTGTTGCACCATTGACCAACATTTTGAAGTAATTGGATCGCTTGTGAGCTATTGTAACGTAACAGAGTAAAGAATCTAATTAGATGTGAAGATAGCCAAAAAGTTCAGATTGAAATGAATCAACGCTACTAATAATTAATACACTATTTGAGTATTGATCTTTGTTTCTGATAAAATTTACTGAAAATGAACCAACTCCAAACCATTTCATTTCAACCGCTGTAATGAAGGCCTACATTAAAGTCAATCTCTTTCATTGCAACACGATACATGGCTAAATTATTCAACAAGTTAATTGAATTGCAGGAGTAGTCTATCAATAGCTATTACCATTACCGTCATCACAATCGATACCATGCTGCGTACATGAACATCCCGCACACATTCAAAGCCGATATACGGCCTCAATTTGGCAGATGCATCACTGCAGGTTTGTATCTGTTTATTTGCTGTTGCTGTGTCATTATTGCCAGTATGTAGGAGTAAAGCCTGTTCACATATCACGCCATGACCCTGAGGCAAAATACGTTCAGTGCGCTTCATATTTCTATATCTTATTTTATATACACACATGTGTGTACGTGAGTGGCCTTTGTTGCACCCAGTTACATTTTTTCATTCTCACTTGCCATTTACTCTCTCGAAGAAAAAAAAATGGGGGGGAAAGGTAAAACAAAACATAACAAAATAAACCCGTCGTAGTTTGCCATGGCTTATGTGAACAGGCCACAAGCTTTTCCTCCTGAAGCCACTTCATCCAAAACTGAAAACAGAGCATAAACGTGATGTTGCAAGAATGTTTACCTTCCACCGGAGCAGAGAAGATTGCAGTTGCCGCCTTCGCCCATTTTGCGCGTGTGGCAGAGATTGGAGACGTAGCCATCGCTTGGGATGTGCCTGTGGTAGATGTTGCTGAAGTGGTATCGGTCGCCGGTAGAGAACTGAATGTAGCAACGTCGGTGCAACCTTGACTTGTTGCGGGGGTGAATGTTGAAGATTCTGTACCTGCTTAAAATCAAATTATTGCATTAATTATAAAGAATCTTTTTGGTTAAATATAAACTACAACACGTACTTGCATACACAACTTGTGTCTTAAAGCATTGTAAGCCTTAACGTATTCTCACTTCAAAATTGCTGGAATGAACTATTTCTAGCGGTGTTCATCTGCTTAATAAATATGACAAAGTCAAAATATATTATATTTTTAAAACACATTGCAGTAAAATAAAATTTTGCTTCAACACGACCGCAAATATTTAGAAAAATTAACTCAAGAGTAATTTCATTTACCCTTTTGTTAAACCTATAGAATTCATGTTCGGATTACATAGTGGGGCATTGTCATGTTCAAACATTTCAAAGGGTGATGCACAAGGCTATTGAAAATGTCAACTCACCTACTTCCTTTTCACAAATGTAGTAATGCTGGTTAGAACTGTCATCGTCGAGCCATCGAAAAGAAGCGGAAGAATTCATCACGAAGCAAGTTCCTCCGTCATCGAATGTCGAGGTGGTTTTACCGAAATTAGCATAGGTCAGGATAGAGTTATCGAGCCAGGTTACAGCACTCAACCCAATCCATATATTTTTGTCCGATGGGCCTTTTAACTTCAAGAAGTCTCCTTCTTCCTGGGATCCGATGTAGACCAGATGCATGCCTCGGCTTTCACAGATTAGCTTGGATGCGTGGTAAGTGGCTTGTTGTGGGGAGAAGTAATAGCAGGACCCGTCGTGTTCGATTTGAGTCAAATCACAGGGTACTAGAATACAAAACGAAAACAAAAACACGAGGGAGAGAGAGAGAGACTACATTATGGCGTCACCTGTTCCTGGGAGGCGAAATGCGAACTGAATAACTGTAACCCTTGGGTCTCTCCGCCCGGTATATATGATTGGGGTGTGCAGTATCCGCGGGACAGTGTTTTTCACTTTTATATATTCACAACATCAGTCATGGAGCGTAGCGACACTGTTAGAGCGTTCCAAAGTTTTGGTCCACCACATGCAAGTGCCCTGTCACCATAGGTTTTTGTGGCTCCATGGTTGAGGGTGAGAAGGTGTAGAGAAGATGACCGCAAACGCCTGGTGGGATGCACGGTGTGAAAAAATCTGAGATGTACTCTGGACACATGCCACGGACAGCTTTGAAAACGATTAAAGCTTATAGTATTAAAAAACACGGCCCTAATTCAACCAGTCTACCTTTCATTCTTGAGTTACTAAAGTCACAAAAATATCAAATTGACAAGGAGTATGAATTATTTAGTTGTTAACTGTATATATATATATATATATATATATACTCTTTGTAAATCAAATTTCATTACTCACCGCCTTCTTTTTCACAAATGTAATACTCTATGTCGTTTGAGGTGTCGGCTGTACGATCAAACCAGTGAACTTGTTTCCATGTTACCATTATAAAACAAGTTCCCCCGAGATTGAAATCATCCGGATATCCTTTGAAACTGTTAAAGATCATCTGTGAGCCGTCTTGCCAGGTGATACTGTCTAATCCTATCCAGTAATCTGTGTTAACGTCAGGAAGATTGGTCACCAAGAAATCTTGCTCTCCTCCGGATCCTATCGAGACCAGATGCGTTCCATAAGTCTCGCAAAATGATTTCGCCGTCAGGAAGCTGACAGGGGTAGCATAGACGTAATAGCAGGACCCACTGTAAATGTACATGTAGGTATATGGGACCCCATAACAATCTGGAAGAAATGGGGAAATGTATGGTTTAATCTCATGTTGATGATATTATCAAAGAACTATCTTCGGGTCTTCATCAAGCTACACCATTTGTATGTCATGCTGTTTATTATAGAAGAACTGCTACGAATCGTGGATTTGTTTCTATTCCAGGTGAGAGATTGAGAACAAAATGGAATTCATCTGTATTCCTTCTGAATTTGGAGAAGGGTGCGCTCATCGATCGGTCGTAAAAGTGAATTCAACTCTCTGTAAACGCCACTACCCACTATCAAGTATATCCCCGGATGCTCTCACTTTCCCCCATGTGAACCTGTGATCATGCGTCTTTGAGGTTTAATTCATTAACCTCCCCCTTGTGCTTCAAACAATTTTCAATCATAAGAGATGTTTTTTTAAACAAGTAACATGGACTTTTTTTGTATTTCACTTTATTTTGCTCAGGAAAAAACTAATCATATATTCGTGCTTACCTCCTTCCTTTTCACAGATGGCATAGTGAAGGTTTGATCCGTCATCGTCGAGCCACCGAAACGAGGACGACGAGCTCATCACGAAATAAGTTCCTCCATCATCGAATGTCGAGGTTGTTATACCGAAATTAGCATAGGTCAGACTAGAACCATCGAGCCAGGTCACATCACTAAGCCCGATCCACGTACCGATCGCGATATAAGGTGCTTGGATTATCTCCAAAAAATCCTGTTCTTCTTGAGAACCTATGTAGACCAAATGCATTCCTAGGCTCTCACAAAGGGCTTTGGCTGCGTTGTAATTTGAAACAATTCCAGAGAAGTGATAGCAAGACCCCTGGAATTCGACATGACCTGGATTACAGGCTACCAAAAGAAACAATTGAAAGGGGAGAAAGAGGTTATGCTGACATTTGTGGCAGCATTGTTAAAAATGTGGTTTACCGTTTGTGATTTCTGTTATGTTGAATACATAACTCATACAGAATTCACCCATACTCGTTCTGAATGTTCAGGTCAACAAAGACACTGTATCTGCCGGACGATTTGTAGAAAACATGAGCTCAGTTGAAAAGGCAAAGATGTGGAAGTCAAGGTAGTCGTCTCACCCGACTGCATTTGGTCAGTTATATGTGCAAAAAATAAAGTATGCGATTCAGTGAATATGATTTCCGGCAGATTTGCTTTAAACTGCTAATCTGATATACTTCATGATACAATACAGAATTCAGTCAAGTCGTTTTCTTTTTTCTTCTGGGAATGCAATTCCAATAGATGAAACCCAGGGTGATGTTAACGCAGGGAAAGATGTACTATTTCAATGAATTGTTCTTTATGTGTGGGTTGTGTAAGTGTGTTGGTGCGTGGGTGTGTGCGTGTGTGTGTTTGTGTGTGTACCAGTGTCTCACTGTAGGCCTACATCTGTCTCTTTTTCTCCATAATGACAATAGGCATACTCCTCCTCTGTGTCATTCTGGTATATGCCATTTCATAATATCATATTTCATTCTTTCATGTCAGAGGCATTTTACCTCTCAAAATCTGTGCTTCCGATTCATTTTACCTTCGATAATTTACCTGATGTGATGTGTTACCCTCAAGACTGGTATTATCCCCTCGGTGATTATTTCCTCTGTAATCGTGTAAAAGTATTTTCTAACTTTTATCTTTTCACCATTCCTCAGCAGATTGTACAACGGCACCTGTTAAAAATTGGCCTACTTAGGACCATCTCATTAGACCATGCAACAGCCCAATAACTTAACAGCCATCGTGACCGAAAGCCAGTCAGACCGACGTCTTGGATTTTCAATAACTCAAAAAAAAAGTTGTTTAAATGAAATCTTACTCCAGACAATGTCACACACTTTAACGTACATAGTGCAACTTCTGTTCTATTTCAACTGAAGTTTTTTTTTTTTCATTTGCTAAATAATTATGAGAGTACAGGATTTTAACGCATACTAGTAGGTGTTTGCTGAAATGAATACATCGACGAAAAATGATCCAGGATTTTGTTAGAAGGGAGCGCAAAGTTCAGAAAACTTCTTAACAAGATTTCTTCACATTTTGCAGGTGGATTTTTTAGATCTAACATTCGAAAAGGGGCGTAGAAAAAAAACTCAGCTAGGAGAGGGGCATATGCGTGTTTGTGTACGTGTGTGTGTGGGGGGGGGGGGGGCTTCAGGGAAGCAAGATTAGATTTAAGGGGCCTGGAACAACCAGAATAACCCTCATGTAAGCCAAAGTGACATCCCAATCACAATGTTTGGTACTCACCGCCTTCTTTTTCACAAATACAATTACGCTTGCTGTCGACACTGATGATGTCATCAAGCCAATAGGTTGGAACCGGTATATACATTACGAAATAAGTTCCTCCTTCATCAAAATCATAGAAATATCCTCTGAACCTGTTGTAAGTCAGGTTTGAACCGTCTTGCCAAGTCACACTGTCTAGTCCTATCCAGTATTCTGAGCTATTGTCGGGTAGGTTGGAGACCAAGAAGTCCTGTTCTAGCTGGGATCCTATCGAGACCAGATGCATTCCAAGATCCTCACAAGAGACTTTCGATGTGTAAAAGTCGGACGGGTTTTGAGAGAAATGGTACAAGGACCCATTGAATTCAATCTGATTCACATCACAAGCTGCAAGACAGAAATAGAATCAAACGAGCAGATATTGCTAACCAATTTTGTAAATAAAGTAATATTTGAAAAGTGCATTATTCAAATAATATGCCGATCCGAAAGTGACTGGGATTTTTCCCAAAGAAAATCCGCTGTGGGCCTTTTTAACTTTATATCGCCACTAAAGTCTTACGCATATACAGAGTTCATGATTTTGCGATTTGAGGCTTCCATCTCAATGAAAAACAATCATTGACAATGCATCCATTATTTTGAGAGATGATTAATACAACCTACAGTTTTCTATTTGATTTGTGCATAAGGTTCATAATTCTCAACTTTGGGGCTGGCTTGAGGTTTTAAAAACAGAAGAAGACACGAGTCCCCGCAAACGTACATGCAATGTCCGTGAAATATCGGTTAAAAATATGCAAGACTTGAGAGAAAGAATTCAAAAATCGCGCGATGATATTTCCATGCATTGCGGAATTACTCACGAAATATCAACAACAGATGAAAGACTAAAAGAATATATTCTTTCTTTCAGGAAACCATTAATACATAGGCCAAGATGGGATTTTGTTATAACAAAATGAGGACATATGGAATTAAGGTCAATCTTCTTGTTTCAAATTTAAAAATACACATTTTTCACAAATGTATTATTCATAAAGAGTTACTTTATACCTTCTTGGCATTTTTTGTGATTCGCACTGTATCATAAAATAGTCAAATAGAATTGGAATAGAAAAGAATAGGAAAGAGGAAATTACAAACCTTCCCCGGTAATGAGATATATTTGCGTACTGATCACACATGTAAGAATGTAAAAAGTAAAATCCATCTGTAAGATAAACACAATTATTATTTTAATATTACGACTAACAAAAGATAAACATTTTCATCAACACTTTGTACTTATTTTCCAATTTACAATAGTCATCTAACTACATGAACCTGCTGATCGACGATGAATAATAGCAAAACAAACGAAAATTATGTCGTATCATGTCAAGCTACGAAGTATTAAATTAAGTGATACATAATCGTTTAACATATGCAATAAAGAACAAACTATGATTTGTTGCCTATCAAAGGGACAATCGATCGGGCGAATCGCATTTCACCAACACACGCACACCAACACATACGCACACGCTCACATAGACGAACGCACCCACATCTCCCCACACACACCAACGCCCCACATAATATCTACACACCGCACACACTCAATCCTGCGGATAACGCCAATGAGGAAAATACCCCTTTCTTTCCCACAGATTAATACTATACTTTGGTTATCAGATACCTTAGGTTTTGAAAATCTCTTCTAAAAGATTTTCTAGGTGTTCTCAAAAATATTTTTATGAATAAAACGTACCTCGAGTTTATGAAAACCTCTGGCAAAATCCAGGTTTTACAGAAGTAGACGACTAACAAGAGACCAACGTCTTCCTCCTATGATAGCTATGACGTGCTCTGTCATCTGAAGCAAATCATTATCTTTGAAGTGCCAGAAATCGCTTTCGACAATGGTCGATAAAGTTTCAAATAATTATGAAAAGGCACTTCATGCCCAGACATGTTCCATTGTACGTGCCCCTGCAATGGAGAAAAACTCTATTGCTTTCTAAATGAACGTGCCTCCGATCGCTATAGTTTTCATGATTGATCTGATTTTTGAACAAAGAAGAGGATCAATACAAGAGAAAATGTTAGGTAGCATAAAACAGAATGAATAGAAATAGACATGAGAGCAGAAATGAGGCGTACGTTACTCGTTTATAACTAATGATGAATTTAAAAGCTCATTGCAAAAGGACCGTGTCATTTCATGAGGGGAATTTTGTTGTTGTCAAAAACACTTTGATTTTATTGATCGTTCCTATTAGTTTCATCACACTTTCAATTTCCTTTGATTACATTACACCACTGTTCACTCCCTTCCTTTGCGTGGGTGTGTGTGACTGAAGCCTGCGTTGTGTGAAAACGTGCCCCTTCCCTTGTTCATAGACACAGGTTATGTCAAGTGGAAAACACTCCGTCCCTCGGATAGGACGTTAAATGGAGGCCCCGTGTAGAGAAGAGTCACTACCTTTGCACGTTAAGAACTCACTGCACTATTCGTATAAGAGTAGGGGGAAACCCCGGTGTAAACGTCCACGAAGAGGGTGATACAGAAACTTAACATTTTTTGTTATTTTGTTGCTGCTGTTGGTGTTTATTAGAGAATCAATACAGCAAGCAACGGACCTTAGCAATATTCGCGAAAGGGCCGCCTTTGGCAGGCTTTCGCGCGCTTTGTGTGAGCGATACAAGGTGTTGAAAGGAAGTACTTGAGATTTGACTTGTAGAATGGTGGATTGGAAAAACAAAACAAAAGAAGTTGGTTAATGCTATCCTAAACAGAATTATAATACGTGTAATAATGATATGTGCTTATATAGAGCCTAACACTGTGTTGGAAGTCTCTAAGCGCTCTACAATAATGCATAATTACCCTACATGGCTTTGGCAGAGCAGCTGTCACGCGCTCACGCGTTGTGCGTTTCAAGGAATAAATTACTACCAGGTCTCCATTTACTTTACCTGGGTAGAGTGTGCAGCACAATTTGGATGAATTTCTTGCTGAAGAAAATCAACGCCCTGGAGTGAAATTCGAACTCACGACCTTATGATTGAAAGACGCGAGTCAGAACCACCACACTATGACGCTTCCAGATCGTGTGCACCTAATACATGTACAATAATAAATCCAGTCTTATTTTTAAGTGATTTGATCCCGTCTATACTAGCAAAATTAGCGCATCCCCCCCCCCCCCATAAAAAAGTAGTAAAATAGACATAAATAGTGAGAGAGAGAAAATATCAGATATTTTTTTTGTATTTTCATTGTTTTTTAATTGAAATTTGCCTAAATGAAAAATGATTTAAATGAGCCAATCCTGTTTTACATTTACACATACATGTAAACAGAACAAAAAGTAACTACTAACTACCCCCTGAAGAACTGCTCATATAATTTCGAAACCATTGAAATGTCTCACGATGTCATCTTACCACAATATTGGTAGACTCGTTAGGTACATTTTGTATGAAAATCAGAGATATTCACCACTGTATGGCTGAATGAGCACAGATTAAAGACAAAATGGCCCAATTCAAAAGTCACAAGATATTGTGCGTGCCCGTACATTGTTGTGAAACAGCACATGACTGAATGCATTGATTATGAAACAATGCTTTTTGATTTTCCATCATTTTTAATTTGTAAATGGCACATGTGGTTTAATGCATTATTTGCAATTTGCAATAAAAAAATTAATACTCAGTAAGCTGCAATGATAATATTACTTTTGCGAATTTTTAAATATGAAAATAAAAATGCATTAATGTGTGCTTACTCAATCAAGTATTGATGATAATCTCTTATTGTTACACATTGTTTTCATAACTACCATAGAAATATTTTTGCAAGACGAAATCTTGAAACGATTCTATGTTACAAAGTTATGAGCTATTGTTTAGGAGCGTAGTTACTTTTTGTGACAATCAATCCTCAGTTTTTTTTTCCAAGAGGGCTCTTTTTTAATCTAAAAAAGAGCCCCCTTCAGGTTTCTCATGGGTTTTTATTAATGATGGGGGCTACCTTTTGGGTATTTAATTTGGTTTCTTAATTTTAGCCCGGCCGTATCGTATAGATACAACATTCATAGAATCTTACATTTCAGTTAATGATTTCATCCACTGTTACTCAAAAAAAGGTAATCCTCTTATACTATTAGATATTACGTCGTGTCAAGATATATGTCGCGAGTCACTATTTTTTTAATTTACAATTTTGAGGACTGTTTGAGGACTGTCTCAATAATAATCATGGCATAACTTTGGAAATTATGAATTTTTCGATAGATATTAATTGGTATACGACTATTTGTTTTTGTAATCTTGAAACCATGATTAAATTAAAAAGGAAGAAAAATGGAGAAACCTAAATTGTTTTATGTGCCTTTCATTTTAAACTTTTGTCCTTTTTGTTGAACTGATTCTCATCATTAATCATGGAACTTCATTTTTCACGTACATTCAGCACATGGCAGAAATATAGAACTACTAAATTTGCAATACAGTACGAGACTCTGCTTAATAAAGAAGGTAAGAGGACACTGATCAACCGATGTGTAGAACTCCCCGGGCGGGGGTCGTACCTTAACTTGACGATCTCACGAGGAACAAACCACACTATCAAACAATAAGATTAATATCAACGATTTAGTATAGATGATCAACACAAATATCAAGGGTCGTATAATCATTCGTGGTGTATACAAAACATACACACAATAATCAAATGTCGCGGGAGTGAACTCTCTCAGACGGCATATAATTTACATCAAAATAACAGTGATCATAGTAAACGGAATCGTCTCGAGGGCGTACCCCGGAGGTTTATCTCCGTCACATTCAAAAATGAAGTACGACAATATAATCAATCACCAAAAACAACGAATGTCAATCATCAGAAATCAAGTACAAGAAGGATCGTTAATTAGTTCAGCAAAGCGTTCAAGAATAAGAAATAAGAATCAAACCAAATCACAATGACTAGGTCAGGCAATGACGATGCTGACGTGGCGACGAATGATGATGACGACGAAGACATAAAGACAGCGATGATAACGAAGACAGCGGCGATGACGCGGATACGAAGATGAAGACGACGATGACAGAGACGCTTAGTGAGGAAGACGAAGAAGATGGTCTTTTTGATGGTGATGAGACCATCAATTGATGAATGCGATGATGGTGATGAGACCATCAATTGATGAATGCGATGATGGTGATGCAGATGTCAATAGGGACTTTTAGATTTGCGTGGACTGATACGTGTGACGTCCATTCAAGGCAGTGCATTAAAAGGACGTCGACCGTAGCAATCTACATTGTCTTCGTGCGAATCTAAAAGTCCCTATTGATGCGTGTGGTGTTGACGTTGACGATTATCAGCGAGTCAGCACAGCACAACGGATGACGGTGAGGTGATGACGATGACGATGATCAACATGTCAACACAACACAATGGATGGTGGCGATCGAACGGACAGTAGCAGATAGAAGATAATGAGTCGATGATGACGAATTAAGACGACAATCAACGTGTCATCACACAGCGGGTAATGGCGAGGTGATGACGATGACGATAATCATCGTGTCAACACAATAAACACAACGAAGAGCAGGTCCACCGGGAAAAGTCCGGGGACCAAGTCGTGAGTCCATGTTGGACGAAAAATTGACCGGTACGATAAACAAAAACACAGTAAAGACCTGTTTGTACCGATGAAAATAATCCCTCTGATTTCCACATGGAATTACCGGAAAAATCAAAGCAAAGCGTGATTGGTTGAAACACGCGCAAAAAAATTAATATGCACGATTACGCGCTGTATGTAACAATGACATATCTACATAACAATAGACTATATTAACGAACCAGACAGAACCGGTTGGGACATGTCTGCAAAGCCAGACAGCGGACCACGCAAGGAAAATTAACTCTTTCTAACCGCCATTTTGAAAATAGGAAAGCAATACGTATTAAAAACGAACAAATCAATACATTATACAAATAGTGAATGGTCATGAGTGCAATGGTACAAGATTTTGCACGAGGTGAAAGATAAGAGACGCTATATTCAACGAGGCGCAGCCGAGTTGAATGGTGCGTCTCATCTTTCACCGAATGCAAAATATTGTTCCATTGCACGTATAAAGACCATTCACTATTTGTTTTATACAACATCTCGGACGTTAACGGGCTTAAAACAGTTTTCCTAGGCCTAAATCTCAGCAATTTTGTTTTGTTTTTAATTGATTAAATTGCTGATAGTAAGCGTGCACTATTAAGCAGGCAGCAAACCACGCGCGTACCATGCGCCGCGCGTACCAACCTTTATGATTATTGTTACGCGGAGTGCAATTCCGTTAGATCCTTTCGCACCATTGCACTCTAACGTCACTTAGCTCACCATATACTTTGTACATCGTTAGTGATGTCAGAGTGCAATGGTGCGAAATGATCAAACGGAATTGCACTGCTGGAGAATGATGCCGTTCAAAGGTACTTTTAGCGCATATCATGTGATCAAGAATTGACCAATTAGGTTGCAAAAATCTTAGTAGGCGTTGTATAAAAAAAAGTTATTATCCATGCAAAAGTTAGAAATCGTGACATTTGGTCACTACAGATGTAACAAAATCTTATCCTTTCCCAGAAAATCAAAATACCTTTGTAATTTCACTAATTTTCATAACTGGGAATTTTCACAACTTTATAATTTTCACATGATCAGATCAACGCGAACCAAAAAGTAGATTAACCAAATACATATAGATACAGCGCAAACAATCACAACTTTTGTGTTCGCTTTCCACGTAGATGAAGGCACCAGCTTACGCAACGGTACTATGAAATTGTTGCTAATTTCAGTTATCGGTGAAAACGTTGCGAGAAGAAATCCCATAGATAGTTTTTTTAGTCCGAGGCGTGCAAAACCCTAAAAAAAAAAAAAAAAGGGATTTCCTTACTCAAATTATAATATAAATTACGGCTGATCAATATCTGATTTTGGAAAGATTGTTTTTTTAAATGAGAACCTCAATAGTTAATATATATTAAGTTCTTTATACGTCTACATGTCTATGGCTGAAATGAATTCTACTTGTCTGTCAACGAATCGATTTCATGAACACTGGTAATATTAAACGTATTGCACAAAATAACATAAATATGTATATCATTGAAAAACCTATGTAATATTATTGTATTGGAACAGATGTTTTCAACCAAAAAAGCATTTTATTTCTACATAGTATCAATCACATCGTGTTTCTCAAGTCCACAAACATGAAGCATTATTTTCCACCTTCGTTGACTCCATATGAAATTTACAGGTTTATTCATAAAATACTTATAGGGATGTTAATGAAAAAAACGGTTAAATTTAAACACGGGTCTAAATCATGGTTTAAAACCTCTATTGCAGACTAAAATTAGCGTATAAGCCCACATTGCCCATTGCCTATTGAATCTCTAATAACCATTATGCCTTTTGGGGCCAAATTACAACATGAATTGTATTACACTCAATAAAAAATAGATACTGATCATGCTTTACACATTTCATATAAACCATTTGTTAAATACAACAACAACAAAAAATATAAAATTAAAGAGAATTTCATACTCTACCAACATCAATTAATTAAGTGCATACATTCCACGTTGTCAGGTAGGACAAGCAATAAAGTTTGTCATACCTAGCAACAATCAATGTATGCAATTCGCATTCTAACTATTGAAATACAATTATTTGTAACATGGCACTTGAAGAGAGTTGGCATGACGAGACTATGTGTCTTGTCCGTGGCCCTACTCGGGGCCAATCGGGTATAATACGACTGCGGACGAGGCGACCGCAGCATTCACGTACGTGCAACATACGCGAAACCGAAGCGTAAGGAGAACTTCGGTCTGTTTTGCGAACGCTAGCGCGCACTGACCATGCAGAGATTAAGTCGCTGACTTTATTAAGTCCATTCGTTTACGTGCAGTTGTCCAAAATAAGACGTAGATGACGTTAACCAGTATTTGCCATGCTACATTTCCTTTAACAAAGATTTATGCAATAAATTTGATATTTTGATTATATTTTGGAGATGTTCAAATACTTCTGTACGAATAAGCCTAGTCCAACTAATCTAGAAAAGATAATACACCACAATTCAAATAAATAAACATTGCAATAAATGAAGATGTTTAACATTCATGTGTTGTAATATTTGAACGTAGATAAATAATCGAACTTTGTGAAAATAAAATAACTGTACATTTTAGTTATGAGAATTTGCAATGTTTTTTTTTACATGTGTTATGTGCTCTAATAATTATAGTTGCTGTTACAGTGTATATGAAATTTGATACATATGCGCTTTATAGATAATGTAATTCAACCATTATCAAAGATCATAACAAATTTAATACTTCAAAAGAAATCTAGAGAAGAAAAAAAATTGTCTATTCATAGAGATTCTCCTGAAATTTACGTATGGAAAGTGGCGCAGATCGAGTGGATCCAGTCATTTTGGGGTCATCGGCATCATTAGCAGTGGGCACCGGACGGGGGCCATGCGGCCATGCCATCCTGTAGCCACGCTTTGCATTAGAATAATTCCACTTTGCTTATTATGAAGAAGTTAATTTTGAAGAAGCCTAGCTTGAATTTATGTCGAATAGGTTACAGCTCCAGGGCGTTTTTCATAGCCGGACTGAGATGTCAACGGGCACCTCTGGGCGAGAAGGCACATCCTATCCTGGGCAATGTACGTGAAGCATGAGCAAAGCGGGTCATCTAGGCACCGGTGGACGCATGCGATGACGCTCGATGCGGTATACGATGAACGGACGAGGACATCGACGAGTGTTGCGCCATTGGCCAGAAGTCTGAAGTAAGTGGATTGCTTGTGAGCTATTATAATGTCAGAGAGTATATACAAGAAACTAATTACATGCAAAGACAAACAGAAAGCTTTAGCTCGAAATTAGAAAACGGTGTTAATATTAGATTTATACACTTTTTGAGTTTTTATCTTTATTTCTGATAAAGTTTACTGAAAGTAAACTAAATTACTTCAACTGCAACCTATTTTCTTCCAACCACTGTAATGAAGGCTACATAAAAGTCAATCTCTTTCATCGCAACACGATACATGGCTAAATTATTCAACAAGTAAATTGAATTGCAGGAGCAGTCTATCAATAGTTATTACCATTACCGTCTTCACAATCGATACCATACTTGCACACATGAACATCCCGCACACATTAAAATGCTGATATACGGACTCAATTTAGCCGTTGCATTTCTGTAAGTATTTATCTGCTTATTTGTTGTTACTTTGCCAGTCAAGCGCGTAGCCAGGATTTAATTTTAGGGGGAGCGGTCGTGAGCCCGCGAAGTGGGCGAATCACTTATAGAGCGCGCTCCCTACGGGGCTGGGTCCAGGGAGCGGAAGCTTTGCCGTTTCATTAAACTATTAGAGAAAGAAGACGATTCGTTGTACCGTTCTCGACTCTAATCCCCCCTCCCTTCTTCACGAAGTGCGGAATTAAGCTTTGACGTTTCATTAAATTGTTAGAGAAAGAAGACAATTTGTTGTACGGTTCTCGACTCTTAATTCTTAATTGTCTGGATTCAGTCCCCCCCCCCCCCGCAAAGCGCGGAAGCTTTGACGTTTCATTAAATTATTATATCTGAACTTTCAAAAATGTTTCTGTGTCTGCTCCTTTTTTTTCCTACGTCCTCTTACTTTTTCTCTTCTAATAATAATAATAATAATCCGGTTTTTTATATAGCGCTCAATACACCGATCCAACGATGTACCTAAGCGCTTTACAGATATATTATTACCCCGGTCATCGGATTCAGGCTTACCCGCACACAATGTGTGCACATTTTCCACTCCCTGGGGAGCATTCCAGCCAGTCGCCATTTTACAGGCGCACACTTGCTCGTTCAACCACATGAACGTTCGCATCCTACCGGGTACCCATTTAACACCTGGGTGGAGAGTAGCAAGTGCAGGTAAATATCTTGCCAAAGGATATTAGTGCCGTGTCGGGATTCGAACCCTCGACCTTCGCATCTACAGTCAAGCGCCTTAAACCACTCGACCACGACACTCCCGCGTATCTTCTCTCTCTCTATCTCTCTCTCTCTTTTAGCCGGCGTTTTTTTTTTTTTTGGGGGGGGGGGCGACCGCCCCCATCGCTCCCCCCTGGCTACTTGCCTGTTGTTAATATTGCCAGTCTATATATAGGAGTAAAGCCTGTTCACATATTACGCCATGACCCCTCGAGGCCAAATAAGTACAGTGCTCTTTATATTTCTGTATCTTATTTTGTAACACACATGTGTGTACGTGAGTGACCTTTGTTAAACCCAGTTACATTTTTTCATTCTCACTTGCCATTTACTCTCTCGAAGAAAAAAAAATGGGGAAAAAGGTAAAAACAAAACATAACAAAATAAACCCGTCGTAGTTTGCATGGCTTATGTGAACAAGCCACAAGCTTTTCCTCCTGAAGCCACTTCATCCAAAACTGAAAACAGAGCCTAAACGTGATGTTGCAAGAATGTTTACCTGCCACCGGAGCAGAGAAGATTGCAGTTGCCGCCTTCGCCCGTTCTGTGCGTGTGGCAGAGATTGGAGACGTAACCATCGCTTGGGTTGTGTGTGTGGCAGAGATTGGAGACGTAGCCATCGCTTGGGATGTGCCTGTGGTAGATGTTGCTGAAGTGGTATCGGTCGCCGGTAGAGAACTGAATGTAGCAACGTCGGTGCAACCTTGACTCGTTATAGGGGTGAATGTTGTAGATTCTGTGCCTCCTTAAAATCAATTTATTGCATTAATTATAAAGAATCTTTTTGGTCAAATATAAAACTACAACACTTACTTGCATACACAACTTGTGTCTTAAAGCATTGTAAGCCTTAACGTTTTCTCACTTCACATTAAATTGCTGGAATGCAGTATTTCTAGCGGTGTTCATCTGCTTAATAAATATGACAAAGTCAAAATATATTATATTTTTAAACCACATTGTAGTAAAATAAAATGTTGCTTTAACACGACCGCAAATATTTTGAAAAATTAACTCATGAGTAATTTTAATACCCTGTAATTGTAAAACCTATATAATTCATGTTCGGATTACATAATACATCATTGTCATGTTCAAACATTTTCAAAGGGTGATGCACAAGGCTTTTGAAAATTTCCTTAGATTGATTTTTCGAAATTGCAATCGCTTTCTATATAAATGATTGAGCCGTGTCCCGTTACCCACGTCTTCAAAGCAACACTTCCTTTTGAAAATAGAATTGTACTTGCAGCTCAAATTTCATAATCCAACTCACCTACTTCCTTTTCACAAATGTAGTAATGCTGGTTAGAACTGTCATCGTCGAGCCATTGGAAAGAAGCGGAAGAATTCATCACGAAGCAAGTTCCTCCGTCATCGAATGTCGAGGTAGTTTTACCGAAGTTAGCATAGGTCAGGGTAGAATTATCTCGCCAGGTTTAACCCAACAGCATTTAACCCAATCCATACCTCTCCGTACAATGGGCCGTTTAACTCCAAGAAGTCTCCTTCTTCCTGTGATCCGATGTAGATCAAATGCATGCCTCGGTTTTCACAGATTAGCTTGGATGCGTGGTAAGTGGTTTGATTTTGAGAGAAGTAATAGCAGGACCCGCCGTATTCGATTTGAGTCGGATCACATGGTACTAGAATACAAAACGAAAAAACACAAGGGAGAGAGAGAGACAGACTACATTATGGCGTCACCAGTGTCTGGGAGGCGAAAGGCGAACTGAATAACTGTAATGCTTGGGTCTCTTCGCCCGGTATAACTGATTATGACCGAGTCACACTGTCCCGAAGATGACATAAGATGGACACGCGATGAAGGAAATTTGAACTTCGCACGAAGATGGCCCCGAACTTGATCAACAGCCAACCAACAGCCGGAGCAAGTACGATGCCTACAGAAGGTCACACGATGGCACCCGAACCATTCACGAAGGCAACACGAAGATGTGAATTTGTAAGAAGAAGTGTACCCGCAGGCCACACAAAGGCCACACAATGGCTACACGAAGTCGTATTGAGAGTACGATGCGTTCCAACTAGGTCACGAAGGCGTTACGTGACCTCCCGATAAAACCTTCGAACGACGGTGGGAAATTCAATTGCTGATAGGAAATGAATGATGCTCAGAGCAGGGGCGTCGGAGCGAATTCCAAATTGGGGACGGGACCAACAAAAAGGGGCACTTTCTGGAGAAAAAAAGGGCACCTACAAAGGGAAATCTCAATTCGAAAATATACAATTTGTTAGACATTGGTATATACCCCTACATTGTGGTTACATTAACAGGGATGCTTTCAATATTTATTTCTCTTTATACATCATACAAGATATTGTTTAAGTATTATACTTTGCAGTTGGGTGTGATGGTCTGAATATTCATATGCGAGCGAGGAAAAATGTTAAGATTTGTGAGGTCGCAGTGCAAAAAGAGAAAACTAAATATATGACTTACTATGACACAGATGAAAACATTGAAATAGAAGGTCGAACGTTAGAGAGAGTGAGCAGTTACAAGTATCTGGGACAAACTTTGAAAATGGAGGACACCACAAAAGAAGAAGTTATGATGAGAGTAAAAGCAGGATGGATGAACTTTGGAAGATACAAAGACATGTTGACAGATAAAAACATACCCATGTCTCTAAGAAGAAGAATGTTAAACCAATGCATTCTAACAACTATGACATATGGATCAGAAACATGGTCATTGACAAAGGACCTAGAACAGAAGCTTGTGACTACTCAACGAGCTATGGAGAGAAAGATGTCGCATTTATCTCTGGGAGACAAAATTAATCACAAAGTCATACGCCAGAAAACAAAGGTTAAAGATATCATGGAGAAAGTCAGATAATCAAAGTGGAGATGGGCTGGGCATGTAGCAAGACTTAAGGACAATAGATGGACAAATCGTTTAACAGAATGGCAACCAAGGATGGGAAAGAGAAGAAGAGGAAGGTAGAAGAGAAGATGGAGAGATGACCTAACATCATACATGGGAACGGCCGCTTTGACTAGGACAGCTAGAGACAGAAGAGAATGGAAATTTCATGAGGAGGGCTTTGTCCAACGTCTGGATGAACTATAGCCTGATAGATAGATAGATAGTGCAAAAAATTACATCTTATAAAGAGAATTAAATCTAATCCTGGTGGGGTTATACTCACATTCTCATAACGGAAGACTGAAAAGACCTTTGATAAGTAACATGATTATATAATTTATGAAATCAATGCGAGTGAGTGTAGCGACCGAGCTTTGGGAGAAATTGCCCTAATAGTCACTTTAAATTAGGGGCACGTTTAAAAAGTGAAGAAAAGGGGACACATATCGAGAATGGTAAATGGGCATTTGTCGACGGAATTGGGGCACCCATCAGATTTTGATAGCGGCATTCTTAAGAGTTGAAAATGGACATTAATGAAAAGGGGATAGGAAAAGGGGCACGTATCATCGTTAAAAAGGAAATTGTCAGAGGTGTAAAGGGGCATTTATCGCCCCTGAAAAGAGGCACTGATCAAATATGAAAAGGGGTAGTTATGAGAATAAAAAAGGACACTTTTAATAGGTGAAAAGGGGGCATTTATGAGAAGAGGAATGAGCTCTTATCTTTTAATGGGGATACTTATCATACGGAAAAGGGGGCACTTATTAGATTGGAAAAGGGGCGCACGTGAAAATAAAAGGTGCGCTTATGGGAGTTAAAGTGGGTGGTTATTAAAAGGGGAAGAGGCACTTCCTACAAAGGAAAAGAGGCACTGGTCAAAGTAAAAGGGGCACCTCTCATATTTGAATAGGGTAATTATCAGAGGTGGAGGGGGGCACTTGTCAAAACTGAAATGGGCACCTTTGAGGGTAAAACGGGCCCTTTTGCTATGTACAAAAATTGCACTAGCATCTTACAAAGTTATAGAGGCACTTTTCCGACGTAAGAAATGGCACTTTCGGGGTACTTGAAATAGCCTCTTGCTATGAGGCTGGCTTTTTATATTCATTTATTCCTTCATTCAAAATGGTTTATTTCAAATAAAACTTTCATCGCGGCGTTTAGCCAAATTACAAAAGTTTACAAACAAATTAAAAACACATAATGTAATATAAAACATTGCATAACATGATATATTAAATCTGAAAAACAAATTGCAAGCTTATTGCAACATTAAGTCCACGTTACCAAGACACACATGGGAAACGCTTGAGCTACTTAAATTCGGCTGTCTTCGCCGACACCGTGGTGCCATCTGGATGTCATCGTACTATAATACGATGGCTACACGATGGCATTGCAAGGGTTTCACGTAGTCGTGTTGCCTTCCGAAGACATTAGGGCAGCTTCTTGTTTCCTTCGTATTGTCTTCGTGAGGCGATAAATGCCCGATGGCACCGATGATCACACGAAGTAATTACGAAGATGACACGATTTGAAAAGATGCCCTCAGGATGGCCTTACAAAGGGCAACATGGACACACGAATACAACACGAAAACTAGAAATTTAATTCGTCACGAAGACGAATAAGGTGGTCTGTCTTCAAGTCTTATAATAGATTATAATATTAACTATATTGAAAAAGGGAGAAGTTATATAGACATGTAAACAATGATGATTATGATGATGATCTTGATAGTAATGATTATGATGATGATGATGATGATGTTGATGAGGATGATGATCATGATCATGAGCGTGATTCTGACATCTTATCGGAAGAATGAGGGTGATTTAGATAACATATAGTCTCAGCGACAACATACTAAAATTTGGGAGAAAACTGTTGTATAACAACCGAGATACTGGTCAAAACACATTGTCATGCAGATTCATGTTTTGAAATAAGTGACCTTCCATAGACATAACACGCAAATATGACAAATTATGCATCGCGCCTTTAATCGAATATTTAACTATGATGACGTCATCTAAATGAAAAATAAATGACATATTTGTGATAGAGAATTATCTCAGCTACAACATATCGAAATATGGGAGAAAATCGATCACTGATAAGCGAGATAATCTCAATTAAACAAAGACAAAAATGACGTCATCAACAAAATACATTTTCTTTAGTTTAGATGCAAATATGAAGATTTTGTTTCACTTTGTACGAGTCAGGGTGGTATGAAATCATATCTTTAACTCATGCTCTTTCCGACCATGATATAAAAAATGGGGGTCGACGGACTATCTGAAGAGCTATTTCGATTTATAAAGTAGCATGTTTTTGATCAAATTTACATTATATTGCCCATAGCAGCACGCGCGGAATTTGAACTTTGACGCGCGCTCACGGCCTTATGAAAGGTCAAGAGTGACTGAAATTAATGTAAATTGTCATTTACGGTAAGAGGAATCTAAATCATGTAAACAAATTGAATTTGATCTTTTCCGCGCGTTGTGAGCGCGCGCACCGCGCGCGGGGACACGTACGGACGGAAAATTTTGAAATGCTTAAAATGACCTATTTCGTACTCTCCTTTAGTAGTTAAGTGATTTTGAGCAATTTTAAATTTTGACGCGCACATACGCGCGTGTCATGACCTTTATGTGACCTTTGATGACATGACTTGTTGACCCTTGACCTGAAGTATATGTGATATGAATATGAATGACCTTTGCTTAGGCATCATGAAGATATGATGGATAACGTGATTTCACAAAATGGCGCCTGGATGACGTCACGATGACCTGATGACCTTGAAAAGGTTACTGTCACGTCTCATGACAATGACCTATGACTGTGTCAAAATTGAAAGAAATTAACACAACCGATCTTGAGTTAACCGATGAACAAAAAACGGGGAGAAATAAAAATAAATAATAATAATAATAAATAAATAAATAAAGAAAGAAAATTCTGACGAAAACAATAGGTGATCTGTTTTCAACAGACCACCTAATAAACCTTCGCAAGGTCTTCGGGCAAATTTTTGGCACGCCAAAGATTTTGCCACCGCTCACGAAGTTGCTGCCGGAGCCTGCAAAATCCTCCGGCGGTCATACAATTGCTTCAGATGCCCTCACGAATGGCCCGATATGGCCCGATGTGTTTACGATCAGAGCCGAATATGGAATTTTCCTACATCGTGTGTCCATCTTATGTCAACTTCGGGACAGTGTGACGCGGGCATAAGGGGTGTGCAGATGGACCACTATGACTCTCCTATACACGGGGCCACCATTTAAGTTTATATCCCCCGTTCTATCCGCGGGCCAGTGTTTTTCATTGTCATAATTTAGCCTAACCAAAGGAGGTTGGTCGACAAACCTAGGTTTTATTATGACGCGTTTCGACGCATTTCGAACCAAGGTTTGTACCTTGGTATGAAACGCGTCGAAACGCACATGAACCTAAGTTTGTCGACAAACCTCCTTTGTGAATTCGGGCCACAATCTTTGATACAACAGGCAGACGCTTTACCGACTGAGCCAATTCGCCTCCTTGCTTACACACCTTACACCAGAGCCCCGAGAGAAAAAAATATTCCCTGAAAAGTATGGCTCTTCATATGCCTTCGTATTCTTGATATGACATGTAACAGCTTAAAAATGTCGGCCTAATTTTTATGTTTGTGAGCGCTATATAAAAAACGGAATGTTATTGTTACTATTATTATTACAGTGTTTGTTACTTTTACCAAGACTAGACTAAATTTGTTATCATTTGATGATTCCAGAACCTTGCAGTACACATATGCTACATGATAAACTTTTTTCTGATCGATTCAACACCGTGTCTTTCAGACTTTATGCAGCCGCATGACCAGAACTCAACCTTATCGTTAATTGTGATGCTATGTGACATGTTCAAACTTTTCACCAAAATACTAATTAACTATGTGCGCGTTGCCGTGGAAACGCTATAAGGAATACTATTCTTAATGTTTGTCATAGTCTTGATGAAGACATTAGGTAACGTCAGAAATTTGTGACCTAATAAAAACTGTTGGATTTAAAGCATCAACCTTCTCTTCTTCATCATTTTGTTTGCGTCATCATATCATGCCAACACGTGGACCTAATATCGGATTTATATTATACAGTTAACAACTAAATAGTTCATACCCTGACCAAGGTTTGGCATTTGTTAAGTATGTGAAAAATTGATTTGTCCCGATTTTTGTTGTTGTTGAGAATGTGAAATATTAAAGCTTATAGTATTCAACAACGGCCCTAACCCAACCAGTCTACCTTTCATTCTTGAGTTACTAAAGTCACAAAAATAAAAATTGACAAGGAGTATGAACTATTTAGCTGTTAACTGTATAGAGATATATACTCGTTGTAAACGAAATTTCGTTACTCACCGCCTTCTTTTTCACAAATGTAATACTCTTCGTAGAAAGGGTGATCGATTGAGGTGTCGGTTGTACGATCAAACCAGTGTATTTGAGGCCATGTTACCATTATAAAACAAGTTCCCTCGAGATTGAAATCAATCGAATATCCTTTGAAACTGTTAAAGATCATCTGTGAGCCGTCTTGCCAGGTGATACTTTCTAATCCTATCCAGTAATCTATGTTAACGTCAGGAAGAATAGACACCAAGAAACCTTGCTCTCCCTCGGATCCGATCGAGACCAGATGCATTCCATAAGTCTCGCAAATCGATTTCGCCCTCATGAAACTGACAGGGGTAGGATAGACGCAATAGCAGGACCCACTGTGATTGTAGTTGGTAATTGGGACCCCTTCACAATCTGGAAGAAAGGGGGAAATTGATGGTTAAATCTCATGTTAATGGTATTATCAAAGAATTATCTTAGGGTCTTCATCAAGCTACACCATTTGTATGCCATGCTGTTTATTATAGAAGAACTGCTAAGAATCGTAGATTTGTTTCTATTTCATGTGAGAGATTGAGAACAAAATGGAATTCATCCTTATTCCTTCTGAATTTGGAGAAGGGTGCGCTCATCGATCGGTCGTAAAAGTGAATTCAAGTGTGATCAAGCGTCTTTGATGTTTAATTCATAAACCTCCCCTTGTGATTCAAACAATTTTCAATCAAAAGAGATGTTTTTTTAAACAAGTAACACAGACTTTATTGATGTGTTTCCCTTTATTTTGCTCCGGAAAAAAACTAATCATATATTCGTGCTTACCTCCTTCCTTTTCACAGATGGCATAGTGAAGGTTTGATCCGTCATCGTCGAGCCACCGGAACGAGGACGACGAGCTCATCACGAAATAAGTTCCTCCATCATCGAATGTCGAGGTGGTTATATTGAAATTGGCATAGGTCAGACTAGAATTATCGAGCCAGGTCACATCACTAAGCCCGATCCACGTACCGATCACGATATAAGGTGCTTGGATTATCTCCACAAAATCCTGTTCTTCTTGAGAACCTATGTAGACCAAATGCATTTCCATGCTCTCACAAAGTGCTTTGGATGCGTTGTAATTTGAAACAATACCAGAGAAGTGATAGCAAGACCCATGGAATTCGACAAGACCTGGATTACAGGCTACCAAAAGAAACAATTGAAAGAGGAGAAAGAGGTTATGCTGACATTTGTGACAGCATTGTTAAAAGTTATGTTTACTGTTTGTGATTTCTGTTATGTTAAATACATATTCTCATACAGAATTCACCCAGGCTCGTTTTGGATGTTCAGGTTAACAAAGGCACTTTATCTGCCGGACGATTTGTAGAAAACATGAGCTTAGTTGAAAAGATAAAGATGTGGAAGTCGAGGTAGTCGTTTGACCCGACTGCATATTATGGTCAATAAATGTGCAAAAATAGTTTATGCGTTTCAGTGAATATGATTTCCGGCAAGATTTTCGTTAGATTTGCCATAAACCGCTAATCTGATATACTACATGATACTGTTTCTTTCACAATGCAATTGCATGACCAGAACCAGTGGCGTACGCAGGATTTTTTCAAGGGTTTTTTTAACATTTTGAAATCCAGCCGAAAATTTCGCAACGACTCCGCCAGTCGCTGAATAAGCAGGGGGTGGGGGGGGGGGGGTTAAGAGGACACTTTTTTTTTTTTTTTGGTCTCAAAAAAATCGCAACGACTCAGCTAGCCGCTGAATAAGCGGGGGGGGGGGGGAGAGCACACTTTTTTCTTTTTTTTTGGTCTCGAAATTTGAAAATTTGACATTTTTCTTCATTGGGGGGGGGGTAAGGTAAAAAAAAAAAAGCAAAGGGGGGGTTAGGGGGGTTTTCCTCAAAAATACACACACAAAAATACCAAAGGGGGGGTTCAACCCCCAACCCCCCGCCCCCTGCGTACTCGCCTGACTAGAACTCAACTTTATCTTTAAGCTAAATTAATACTCTAAACGCAAGCGTTCTTAGACGCAATGGTACATGCGCGGAACACTGTATTTTGCTTGCCGATATCGATATCAAAACGCTTGCAAACGCTTACCCGCTCCAGACGGGTTGAAAAAGGTTGACCTTTGAAAGCGTTTCCTTGCGATTCTTATTGCCGTTCTCCAAAAACTGAACCACTAGCGTTTGAGAGTGAGTGGAAATCCAGCTTTACGCAACACGCTCTGAAGCTAAGGTCACAAATCAGAGCGGCGACCGACCGATTAGTAGCCTGCTCGGTCGCCGCTGGAATTTAGGCATCGCCCAGCGATTTTTGGAGAAATCGAGCAGGCTGTAGAGCCCCAGCGATGCCTGGGCGGTGACCTGTCGATTTCCCGTCGGTTGCCTGTCGATTTTAGGTCAAAACTGCGCGAGCTTTTCCGCGCGGTGTTACAGCAGTGACTGACCGGTGACCCACCGATTCCCGAGCAGTCTCCCACCGGCCGCCGGCTGATTTTAAAGATATTGCACGGCGGCCGGCCAGTGATCGGCGGGGCTCCAAAATACGCTCGGTGCCCTGCCGTTCGCCGCCTAGGCACCGAAATAATCGAGCGTTCGCCGCCGAGCGATTTAGGTCAAAAATCGAAGCCGCTAGGTCAAAGGTTGCCGACCGATTTTGGACTCGCCGCCCAGTGACCGTCTGATCTCCCAGCGGCGACCGGGCGGCGACCGGGCAGCGACCGCCCGGTCACCGAGCGTAGTTTGGGCGGCTAGTGAAAGTGAGCAGGCGCCGCCCGAATTTTAAGTCCGTGTTAAAACTTCAGCAGCTACCGATCGATGCCTTAAAAACAAGCGGTGCCTGATGGGCGGCCGCCGCTCGGTGGCTGGGCCAAATTGGCTAAAAACTCGCTACTCGGCTGCCGAGCAGGCTACTTTTGGGTAATGTGACCATAACATTAAGTGACGCACATGTATGCACAAAAAGGAGCAACGTGAAAGAAAATCCGGACTCTCTTTATATATACGATCTGCGCATGAAAGAACTGTACACAAATTGGGGGAAATCATGAAGAAAAGGGAGATTGCGAAGAAAAGTAAAATATCTGGCAAAATGGAAACCAAATTTGGCAAAATCGAGGAGGAAATAGGAAGAATCGGGAAGTCTGTGGCTTGCCCCGGCTGAAAGGTAAGGTGCCTTCGCGAAGTTCGTGTACGCCACTGGATGATGGGCAGCGCAGTACGAACACTTTAACACATACCTTGGATTTTTTTTGTTTGAAATCTATTTTCCCCCTTTTTTTTCTTCTTTCTTTTAGCCGCTGAAGGGGGGGGGCACGGGCCGGCTGTGCCCTCGCCTGAATCCGAGCCCGTGTGCGTGTGTGGGGTGAGGGGATTTCAGGTTAGCGTGATAGGATTTTCAGGGGCCTGGCACGACCAGTTCAACACAGGTTAATAGGTTTAATTGATATCTTAATCACAATCTTCAGTACTCACCGCCCTCTTTTTCACAAATGCAATGATGCTTGTGGTCGACACTGATGATGTCATTACGCCAATAGGTTGGAAACGGTATACGCATTACGAAATAAGCTCCTCCTTCATCAAGATCATACGGATATCCTCTGAACCTGTTGTAAGTCAAGTTTGAACCGTCTTGCCAAGTCACACTGTCTAGTCCTATCCAGTATTCTGAGCTATTGTCGGGTAGGTTGGAGACCAAGAAGTCCTGTTCTAGCTTGGATCCTATCGAGACCAAATGCATTCCAAGATCCTCACAAGAGACTTTCGATGTGTAAAAGTCGGACGAGTTTTGAGAGAAATGGTACAAGGACCCATTGAATTCAATTTGATTTAGATCACAATCTGCAAGACAGAAATAGAATCAAACGAGCAGTTATTGCTATCCATTTTTTTTTAAATAAAGTAGCATTATTGATATAATCTGCTGATCCTAAAGTGACGGGGATTTTCCTCATAGAAAAGCCGCTACGGGCTTTTATAATTTCATATCGCCAATATAGTCTTACGCAAATACAAAGTTTATGGCTTTGCGATTTCAGGCTTCCATCTCAATGAAAAACAATCATTGACATTGCATCCATTATTTTGAGAGATGATTAATAAAACATACAGGTTTTTATTTGATTTGTGCATAAGGTCCATAATTTCCAACTTTGGGGCTGGCTTGAGGTTTTAAAAAAAACAAAAAACACGAGTCCCCGCAAACGTACGTGCAACGCTCGTAAAATATTGGTTCAAAAATGATGCAAGACTTAAAAGAAAGAATTCAAAAATCACGCGATGATATTTCCATGCATTGCGGAAGTACTCACGAAATATCAACAACAGAAAAAAGATTAAAAGAATATGTCCTTTCTTTCAGGAAACCCTCAATACATAGGCCTAGATGGGATTTTTTTTTAACAAAATGAGGACATATGAAATTTAAGTCAATTTTCTTGTTTCAAATTTCAAAATACAACTTTTTCATGAATGTATTTTTCATAAAGAGTTATTTTATGACCCGGGCCCTGATTCCTTTATTTAAACCCTCTTGGCATTTTTGTGTGATTCGTATAATAGAATACCGGTAGTCAAATAGAATATATTAGAAAAGAATAGGAAAGAGGAAATTACAAACCTTCCCCGGTACTGAGATATATTTGCGTACTGATCACAAATGTAAGAATGCAACTAGTTAAGTCCATCTGTAAGATAAACACAATTATTATTTTAATATTACGACTAACAAAAGATTAACATTTTCACAAGTCTTTGTACTTATTTTCCAATTTACAATAGTCACCTAACTACATGAACCTGCTGACCGACTATGTATAAATAGCAAAACAAACACAAAATTATGTCGTATCATCTCCAGCTACGAAGTATGAAATTAAGTGATACATAATGGTTTAACATATGCAATAAAGAACAAACTATGATTTGTTGTCGTATCAAAGGGACAATCGATCGGGTAAGTCGCATTTCACCAACACACGCAAACCAACACATACGCACACGCTCACAAAGACGAACGCACCCACATCTCCCCCACACACACCAACGCCCCACATAATATCTACACACCGCATAAACTCAATCCTGCGGATAACGCCAATTAGGAAAATACCCATTTCTTTCCCACAGATTAATACAATACTTTAGGATACCTTAGGTTTTGAAAATGTCTTTTAAAAGATATTTTGTTGGTGTTCTAAAGAATATATTTCAGAATAAAACGTACCTCGATTTTATGAAAAACTCTGGCAAAATCCAGGTTTTACAGAGGTAGACGACTAACAAGAGACCACCGTCTTTCTCCTATGTTGGCTACGACGTGCTCTATGATCTGAAGCAAATCATTATATTATTTTGGAAGTGCAAAAAACCGCTTTCGACAAGGGTTGACAAAGTTTCTAGTAATTGATATATGAGAAGGCACTTCATGCCCAGACATATTAAATTTTACGTGCTTCTGCACGGGAGAAATAATTCTCTACTTTGTGAGTAAACGTACTTCGCTATATTTTTCATGATTGATCTACTTTTTGAACAAAGAGGAGGATCTATACAAGAGAAAATGTTAGGTAGCGTAAAACAGGATGAATAGAAATAAACATGAGAGCAAGCATGAGGCATACGTTCCTCATTTATAATTAATGATGAATTTAAAAGCTCATTACAAAAGGACCGTGTCATTTCATGAGGGGAAAAAATTACGTCAAAAACACTTTGATTTTATTGATCATTCCTATTATTCATCACACTTTCAATTTCCTTTGATTACATTACGCCACTGTTCACTCCCTTCCTTTGCGTGGGTGTGTGTGTCCCAATTACTAGTATTTCTGTTCCCAATTCCATCTCTCTTCCTTTTTTCTCTTTTGTACGCATTTTTATCATCTTCCTTTACTCTCATTTCACTCACCTACAAGCTCTGTTTCTCACTCTCTCATTCTACATCTTCTTTCTCTCTCTCTCTCTCACTCTCTCTCTCTCTCTGTCTCCATCTGTCTCTGTCTCTGTCTCTCTGTGTCTCCATCTGTCTCTGTCTCTGTCTCTGTCTCTCTCTTCTGCCTGTTCTCTTGCTCTATTCACTTCATCTGTCTTGCTTGTTCTGTACAATTGGTATCTCTTCTCTTTGTACATCTCGCCACTTACTCAGCAAACAATTGAATAAGAAACCTCGGCACTCAAGTAGTATTTATACATAAATACTGTCACGAAATTGGTTTCATTTCGTAGATAGTTATTTCGGCGTAGATGGCGTAATTCAAGTTAAATATACGACGCTATATAGTCACGTGTCAATTTCAAGAATGTTTGATCGTGCATGTTTTTGACAGTTTTAGTGTAATTACTTTTCTACCATTAATAATTACTTGTTCTCTTTTGTTTAGTTTTATAGATTAAAACTAGTGCTTTCATTTGATATATGGTTTGTTTCAATCTGATATTGGAAAGTGGAGTTATATCAATGTTAATGTAATTCTTGGAAACCTAACGAGAATAATAAATGTATAAGAAATGTCTATATAAATCAAGTGTCTCACGTGCCTGTGAGCTTCCTGTCATAGTCTACATAATTGCCGTCGCCCACTGGGCACACTTACATTGTAAGGCAATCAGATTATGTTTGGATATTTGCCCAATAAAGTATTGCGTGCAACGAAATGATTGAGATGATCGTTTGCATGTCTTTCCATGGGGAAACCTAAAGTTGAAGTCTGATTTTAGGTGACGACCATGGTAAGAATCTAGGTTGTGTTTGTTAGGTCTTTTACGTTCTAGTATTAGACAATACCAGGGACTACTGTGTAGCAGAGCCAGTGGCATGGTCGAGTAAGCTGACTGTACGAAGTCAGACGGTCTGGTTGTTTGGAGGTGCATGAAGCAAACTGGTGCGGCCAATTGGAGTTGCATGCACAAGCAGACTGGTGTAGACGTCTGAAAGGTGCAGAAGCGGACTGGCCTAGTTGGCTTGTGGTATACGACGGTACAACGGTTGGTAGAAGACGGTGGTCGAGAGGTGGTGCGGAGCAATATATCAGACTGGTGTCAACGTCAACGGGGCAGTATATTTCTGCCAAACGGATCCACGGTAAAATTGGTACCGGACCAGGAAAACCTACCAGCAGAAGGCATCCTGACAAGAGAAGCTGCTGGGAAGAACATCGACAGGAACCGGTTTCGTTACATGTGGTGTCAGAAGTGGGATCCAGTGACAATGGCACAAGGAAGAAATATGCAGAATCGACCAACGCCAGGAGAAATGATGACGCATTTAGAAAGCAGTATGACAGAAATAGATCAAATGATGGAGCAACTACGTGCTTCGATGAGGCAGGCACCAGTTGCAGACTCAGAACCAGGTCGCCAGGAGGCATTTTCCCCAACTCTGAGTGGACAAACTGCATCAGGACCAACAGCAGATTCACAGATGCCAGCGGCACAGTGGGTTAGATTTAGTTCAACGCCCCGAGAACAAAGTAGGCGGCTGCCTACTGCAGGAACTGGAGTTCACATTACACCACCGCTTTTCTCTCCACCTATGCAGGATGTGGGGAGGGCAAATGATGCAGTAATCGGCAGACGGCCGCATATGGTACCAGACAGATTTGACGGTTACACTCCTGTCGAGGATTACTTGCACCATTTTGAGGCATGTGCTGGAGTAAACAGATGGACCAAAGTAGAAGCAGTGCAGTTTCTTGCTGCAAGTTTGAGAGGATCTTCTGTGAAGTTGTTAAACCAACAGCCTGGAGTGGATTTGACGTACGACGAGTTGGTATACAGACTCAGGAACCGGTTTGGTCTTGGAGGCAAAGCTGAGGTATACCTAGCAGAGTTGAGACAGCGTCGTCGGCAACCAAAGGAAAGTCTCCAGGAATTAGGGCAAACGATACGGGAGCTGTGTGCATTGTCCTACCCCGAGTTCGACGAAAAAGGACAAGACCGACTAGCCCGTGGGCATTTTCTGGATGCCGTAGTAACACCAGAAATAAGAGAAGGATTGTTCCGTGCTCAACCTCGCACGCTTGATGATGCCGTGGAAGCAGCTTTAAATACAGAGGCCTTCTTGAGGATGGAGGGTCAGAGAAATGAAGTGAAGCGTTCAACCACGTACAGTCGAGCACTGGAAGAGTGTGAGGTTGCAGCCATCCGTGAACAGCAACCAAGGAATCCTACTATGGATGAGATAGTAGAGAAGGTATTAGATGCCTTAGACATGAGAAATGGGAGGAATACGATTAAACCAGATGTACCAGATAGGAGACCGGAACAAACCATGCCAACTAAAGTCTCAGAACGGGAAGATAACCGGTGTTTCAACTGTAATGAATTGGGACACTGGAGGAACCAATGTCCTTATCCAAGGAAAGTTAGGGGAGGAACAGCACCACCAGCAGCAGAGAAAGCAAATACAAACTTGCAGTGGGCAACTGCAAATGAGATGACAGATGAAGAGGAGCAGACCAGAGTTGGTTCGTCTCAGGATCCTAACAGGAAAGGACTTTTCCTGGAAGGGAAAATCAATGGACAGTCCTTGAAATTACTGATCGACACCGGAGCCACCAACACTTTGATTTCAGATAAGGTGTTTGACCGGATAGAGGATAATAGAAGACCTGAGTTATTACCAGTGACCAGCGTGGTACTACAAGCAGATGGGACCCCGTTGAGGACCAGAGGTAAATCAAGGCTGGAAGTGCAGATCGGAGATTCACTTGTCACTACAATGGTAACTGTGGCCAGCCTCAAGAACGAAGGCATTCTTGGGCTAGATTTCCTAGTTCAAACTAATGCTGTACTTGACTGCCACAAGATGGAATTGAGGACCGAGTGGGGCATAATTCCATGCCTAGATAGTGAAGGAGAATCATTCTGCAGAAGGATAGTGGCGGGGGAGGAAAACTCAATTCCTCCACGACACGAAATGGTGCTAGCAGACAGAGTAACAGGTAAAAAGGAAGCACTGTGTGAAGGACTGGTAGAATCTCCTGTGAACCCAATCGAATTATGGAAAAAGGGACCCATCGTTGCCAGATCTGTCGTGAAGACAGATGAAGATGTGTTGCCTGTCAGGGTGTTCAATCCAACAAGGGAACAGAGGAACATAAAGGCAGGCACTGCCATTGCCTCATTGTCAGCGGTGGAAGAAGTGGGCACAGAAATGTGCAACCAGACGATGCCCACTGAAACCAGTACCAGCAGAAACATGCCATCCGACAAGCAGAGAAACAAGGACGTTCATGCCCGACGTACGACTACCCACTTCTTTCAATGTGACTCTTGTACCAAAAGTTATGAGAAGAAAGACTCTTTGCAAAGACACAAGCGGGAAGTGCATATCCTGAAGTATCGTTGCGACCAATGCGATTATCGCACGGGTAGGAAGACGGAGATGGAGCGGCATCAGGGAGCCCACGATGTAGCTGTGGTTCCCGTGAGAAAACACAGCTTAACACCTGTTTCTTCGCCAAGATGCAAACCCACTTCCACGCCAATAACAGGGACCTCTGAAAAAGCTGATGCATCGTGGCGTCATGTAAGAATGGACTGGCGGTCGCCACCACGTGATGATCCAAGATTGGACCGGCCTCGAGGGAGGTCACCACGTCGCTACCGCTCATCGCGACGAAAATCCAAATCGCCCCAAAGCGACCTAACGAAATCGTCATGTCAAAAGACCCCGGAGTCTCCACAGCATGATGGATCGGAAGCTTCCCCTCGACATAGCCGACAATCTACGCCCGAACCAGAAGAAGAGTTGGATAACGACGAAAGGTCCCCTTCACCACTTGACTTGCGATATTCATCTAGGAAAATGGCGTCGGAGACTGCATGAGCTAGTGAGTGGACTGAAATTGCTAGTAAGAATGCTGAAACTCAAACTGACACTGATAGTTCTCGTTAAAGAATTCAGTCAGTACTGCATGAACTTAGAACCGCTGGTTCCGGTGGGAAGGATACCTAGATGCCCATAGATTATTTACTGTAAATGTGTTATAAGCAGTTTGTAAATTGTTGTTAGATATCGCTCGGGGGCCGAGCTAAGGAAAATAAGGGAGTTGTGTCACGAAATTGGTTTCATTTCGTAGATAGTTATTTCGGCGTAGATGGCGTAATTCAAGTTAAATATACGACGCTATATAGTCACGTGTCAATTTCAAGAATGTTTGATCGTGCATGTTTTTGACAGTTTTAGTGTAATTACTTTTCTACCATTAATAATTACTTGTTCTCTTTTGTTTAGTTTTATAGATTAAAACTAGTGCTTTCATTTGATATATGGTTTGTTTCAATCTGATATTGGAAAGTGGAGTTATATCAATGTTAATGTAATTCTTGGAAACCTAACGAGAATAATAAATGTATAAGAAATGTCTATATAAATCAAGTGTCTCACGTGCCTGTGAGCTCCCTGTCATAGTCTACATAATTGCCGTCGCCCACTGGGCACACTTACATTGTAAGGCAATCAGATTATGTTTGGATATTTGCCCAATAAAGTATTGCGTGCAACGAAATGATTGAGATGATCGTTTGCATGTCTTTCCATGGGGAAACCTAAAGTTGAAGTCTGATTTTAGGTGACGACCATGGTAAGAATCTAGGTTGTGTTTGTTAGGTCTTTTACGTTCTAGTATTAGACAATACCAGGGACTACTGTGTAGCAGAGCCAGTGGCATGGTCGAGTAAGCTGACTGTACGAAGTCAGACGGTCTGGTTGTTTGGAGGTGCATGAAGCAAACTGGTGCGGCCAATTGGAGTTGCATGCACAAGCAGACTGGTGTAGACGTCTGAAAGGTGCAGAAGCGGACTGGCCTAGTTGGCTTGTGGTATACGACGGTACAACGGTTGGTAGAAGACGGTGGTCGAGAGGTGGTGCGGAGCAATATATCAGACTGGTGTCAACGTCAACGGGGCAGTATATTTCTGCCAAACGGATCCACGGTAAAATTGGTACCGGACCAGGAAAACCTACCAGCAGAAGGCATCCTGACAAGAGAAGCTGCTGGGAAGAACATCGACAGGAACCGGTTTCGTTACAATACATATATATTTCATTCATTATCATACAGTAATTTACGGTAACCTAAATATTCAAAAGTACAATATCAAAAAAGTATCTTTACCTTTACCTAGCTATGACTTCAGAATTAATGTTATTAATATTCTATTTTATGTACACTGTCGCTCATATAGTTGGAATATTTTTGTTTTACCAACATTTATGGAATTATTTTAAAAAATAATTAAAAAAATAATATATCTAGATAATAGTATACATTCTCAGATTTTATTTAATATTAATTTGACAATGTGTGTTTTGTGTGACTACTAAAGCATGTGTATGCTACTATGCGTATCAACTAGGGGACCTACGCCCTTAATTCATAAATGACAGTAATGAGGATTAATGCCCCACAAAAGGGCACTAATATAGCACATCGACACGGTTTTGATCATGGGGCCTCACAGTTATGAGGCCATTGCTTTGTCACTAACCCATGACTGTACGCAGCGGGGGCTAGGGTAGGGGGCAGTTTCCATAAATTAAAAAAACAACAGGTAAATTTTCAATAATTGATTGCATTTTACCCTGGTTCCCAACATAAAAAAAAAATTACAAACCAGGTTTGTAAAAAACGCGTAAAAACGCGTCATATGACGTACGAAAACCATGGTCTGTCGACAAACCTCCTTTGTGAATTCAAGCCTAAAAGTTTTTAAATTTCAAAGGATTTCCTTGCTAAATTATAATATTGATTACGGCTGATCAATATCTGATTTTGGAAAGAATGTTTTTAAAATGAGAACCCCAATAGTTAATATATATTAAGTACTTTATACGTATATAGGTCTATGGCTGAAATGAATTCTACTTGTCTGTCAACGAATCGATTTCATGAACACTGGTAATATTAAACTTATTGCACAAAATAACATAAATATGTATTCATTGAAAAACCTATCTAATATTATTGTATCGGAACAGATGTTTTCAACCAAAAAAAGCATTTTCTTTCTACATAGTATCAATCACATCGTGTTTCTCAAGTCCACAAACATGAAGCATTATTTTCCACCTTCGTTGACTCAGTATGAAATTTACAGGTTTATTTATAAAATATTTATAGGGATGTTAATGGGAAAAAAAAACGTTAAATTTAAACACGGGTCTAAATCATGGTTTAAAACCTCTATTGCAGACTAAAATTAGCGTATAAGCCCACATTGCCCATTGACTATTGAATCTCTAATAACCATTATGCCTTTTGGGGCCAAATTACAACATGAATTGTATTACACTCAATAAAAAAAATAGATACTGATCATGCTTTACACATTTCATATAAACCATTTGTTAAATACAACAACAAAAAAATATATAAAATTAAAGAGAGTTTCATACTCTACCAATATTAATTAATTAAGTGCATACATTCCACATTGTTAGGTAGGACAAGCCATAACGTTTGTCATACCTAGCAACAATTAATGTATGCAATTCGCATTCTGACTATTGAAATACAATTATTTGTAACATGGCACTTGAAGAGAGTGTAGCATGACGAGACTATGTGTCTTTCCCGTGGCCCTACTCGGGGCCAATCGGGTATAATACGACTACGGACGACGCGACCGCAGCATTCACGTACGTGCAACATATGCGAAACCGAAGCGTAAGGAGAACTTTGGTCTGTTTTGCGAACGCTAGCGCGCACTGACATGTAGAGATTAAGTCGCTGACTACCGTTAATTAGGTCCATTCGTTTATGTGCAGTTGTCCAAAAGAAGACGTAGATGGCGTTAACTAGTATTTGCCATGCTACACACCTTTAACAAAGATTTATGGAATAAATTTGATATTTTTATTTTATTTTGAAAATGGTCTATTATAGTCTTATGACTGCATGGTATTGACAATTACCGTCAAGATTCCATCCCTTTACACCCAAGATCGTGGACAAGCCATATTACATACGCCTAATGCTCATTAAAATTTGAATCGGCCAGATGCCCCTTTACACCCAAGATCGTGGACGAGCCATAAGATACGCCTAATGCTCATTAAACTTTGAATCGGCCAGATGCCCCGTTTTTATTTTTATTTTTTTTCATGATGGTTTTTCATGCGTATGTTTTCGATTGTAAGAGGATAAGAGGTTTTTTCGATGTATGAAAGATAATTTTATATCAAATATTTATTTGAAATTCTTAACTATATACTTAATGTCCAGTTTCTTTTTTTGTCGAGTGTAGATTTCACTAGACGAAAGGAATCGAATAATATTTGCTGAAGAAATTGTATGTTCAAAAACAATTCACGTTTTGTTTAAAGTTACACGCAGTGATATTGGGGGGGGGGGCGTAATTTTTCGATACAGCCTTGTTTAAACGCCTAGGTTTACAGCTAAGATACTCCCTTTCACAATATGAATTGATCAAGCATGTGCTGTAGCAGCGATGACAGTTTCACGAAACCGAATCTCTAATACCCCGTAAGAGTTTGTTCAAATTGGTTATTTACTTCGAGAGAGATGTACTCAAAATACTTCTGTACGAATGAGCCTAACCCAACTAATCTAGAAAAGATAATACACCACAATTCAAATAAATAAATATTGCAATAAATGAAAGATGTTTAACATTCATGTGTTGTAATATTTGAACGCAGATAAATAATCAAACTTTCTGAAAATAAAATAACCATGCATTTTAGTAATGAGAATTTGCAATGTTTTACATGTGTTATGTGCTCTAATAATTACAGTTGCTGTTACAGTGTATATGAAATTGGATACATATGCGCTTTATAGATAATGTAATTTAACCATTATCAAAAAACATAACAAATTTAATATTTCATAAGAAATCAAGAGAAGAAAAAAAAAGTAATTTGTCTATTAGTAGCCACGCGTTGCATTAGAATAATTTCACTTTGCATATAACAATATGAAGAAGTTAATTTTGAAGAAGCCTAGATTGGATTTAAGTTGAATAGGTTACAGCTCCAGGGCGTTTTTCAAAGCCGGACTGTGATGTCAACGGGCAACTCTCAGCAAGAAGGCATGTCCTATCCTGGGCGATGTACGTGAAGCATGAGCAGAGAGAGTCATTTAGGCACCCGTGGCCGCATGCGATGACGGTCGACGCGGTATACGATGAGTGGACAAGGACATCGACTAGTGTTGCACCATTGACCAACATTTTGAAGTAATTGGATCGCTTGTGAGCTATTGTAACGTAACAGAGTAAAGAATCTAATTAGATGTGAAGATAGACGAAAAGTTCAGATTAAAATGAGTCAACGCTACTAATAATTAATACACTATATGAGTTTTTATCTTTATTTCTGATAAAATTTACTGAAAATGAACCAACTCCAAACCATTTCATTTCAACCGCTGTAATGAAGGCCTACATTAAAGTCAACCCCACTCATTGCAACACGATATATGAATAAATTATTCAACTTTTCAGTCAATTGAATTGCAGAAGTAGTCTATCAATAGTTATTACCATTACCGTCATCACAATCGATACCAAGCTACGTACATGAACATCCCGCACACATTCAAAGTCGATATACGGACTCAATTTGGCCGATGCATCACTGCAGGTATGTATCTGTTTATTTGCTGTTGCTGTGTCATTATTGCCAGTATATGGAAGTAAAGTCTGTTCATATAATCATACCATGACCTTCGAGGCCAAATAAGTACAGTGCGCTTCATATTTCTGTATCTTATTTTATAACACACAGGTGTGTACGTGAGTGACCTTTGTTGCGCCAAGTTACATTTTTTCATTCTCACTTACCATTTACTCTCTCGAAGAAAAAAAATGGGGGGAAAAGGTAAAACAAAACATAACAAAATAAACCCGCCGTAGTTTGCCATGGCTCATGTGAACAAGCCACAAGCTTTTCCTCCTGAAGCCACTTCATCCAAAACTGAAAACAGAGCCTAAACATGATGTTGCAAGAATGTTTACCTTCCACCGGAGCAGAGAAGATTGCAGTTGCCGCCTTCGCCCGTTTTGCAGGTGTGGCAGAGATTGGAGACGTAGCCATCGCCTGTGTTGTGCCTGTGGTAGAGATGGGAGACGTAGTCATCGCTTGGGTTGCGCCTGTGGCAGAGATTGGAGACGTAGCCATCGCCTGTGTTGTGCCTGTGGTAGAGATTGGAGACGTAGTCATCGCTTGGGTTGTGCCTGTGGTAGAGATGGGAGACGTAGTCATCGCTTGGGTTGTGCCTGTGGTAGAGATTGGAGACGTAGTCATCGCTTGGGTTGTGCCTGTGGTAGAGATGGGAGACGTAGTCATCGCTTGGGTTGTGCCTGTGGTAGAGATTGGAGACGTAGCCATCGATTGGGTTGTGTGTGTGGCAGAGATTTGAGACGTAGTCATCGCTTGGGTTGTGCCTGTGGTAGATGTTGCTGGAGTGGTATCGGTTGTCGGTATAGAACTTAATGCAGCAACGTCGGTGCAACTTTGACTTGTTGTGGGGGTGAATGTTGTAGATTCGGTACCTCCTTGAAATCAATGTATTGCATTAATTATAAAGAATCTTTTTGGTGAAGTTTAAAACTAATATGCATACACAGTTTATGTCAGCCTTCACGTTTTCATACTTCATATAAATTTGCTGGAATGAACTATTTCTAGCGGTGTTCATCTGCTTAATAAATATGACTAAGTCAAAATATATTATATCTTTAAAGCACATTGCAGTAAAATAAAAATTTGCTCTAAAACCTATATAATTCATGTTCGGATTACATAATAGCTCATTGTCATGTTCAAACATTCAAAGGGTGACACACAGGACTTTTAAAAATTTCCTTTAATAGGTTGGTTTTTCGCAAATTGATTGCAATCGCTTTGTTTAAAAATGATTGAGCCATGTCCCGTTACCCACGTCATAAAAGCAACACCTTCTTTTGAAAATAGAATTTTACTTACAGCCCAAGTCCCTAAGCCAACTCACCTACTTCCTTTTCACAAATGTAGTAATGCTGGTTAGAACTGTCATCGTCGAGCCATTGGAAAGAAGCGGAAGAATTCATCATGAAGCAAGTTCCTCCGTCATCGAATGTCGAGGTGGTTTTACCGAAATTAGCATAGGTCAGGGTAGAATTATCGAGCCAGGTTACAGCACTTAACCCAATCCATACGTATCTGTATCCGTACAATGGGTTCTTGAACTCCAAGAAGTCTCCTTCTTCCTGTGATCCGATGTAGACCAGATGCATGCCTAGGCTTTCACATAATAGTTTGGATGCGTGGTAAGTGGTTTGTTGTGGGGAAAAGTAATAGCAGGATCCGCCATATTCGATTTGAGTCGAATTACAGGGTACTAGAATACAAAACGAAAAAAAAATACGAGGGAGAGAGACAGACAGACAGACGGAGAGGGAAAGAGACAGACAGACATAGAGGGACAGAGAGGGACAGATATACAGAGCGAGAGAGAGAGAGAGAGAGAGAGAGGGGGGTTACCGAGAGAGAGATAAATAAATATATATTATATTGAATAAATTGCACCCCCTCTTTATTTGTATTAACAAAATGACTGCAAAGGTTGTGAAAATTGCCTCCGTTGGCAATTAAACCTGGCTTAATGACGTAGGTCCCCTAGTTGATTAGCATAGTAGCATACACACGCTTTAGCAGTTACGCAAAACAAACACTCGCAAATTATTATTTAATAAAATCTAAGAATGTATACTATTATCTAGATCTATTGGAATAAATCATTGTAAAAAATCATTCCATAAATTGGGATAAAAATATTTATTCCACCATTATGACCAACAGTGTAGTACATAATTTAATTTCCTTGAAACCTCAACAATGTCGTTCATGAAGAGCAAAAATAATAACGGGCCCTAAATACTACCTTGAGGAACACCTTGCTTCATTAATAGCAATTCAGAGTCAGATTCATTATATTTTACAAATTGTGTTCTATTACACAGATAACTTTGGAACCATTCCAGTTTTCTTGATAAGATTTTGTGATCCAAACAATCGAGTGCCTTGCTAAGGTCTACATACACTCCTAAACCTTTCTCTTTCTTTTCATAAAATTTGTACAAAAGTTCGGATGCAAAAAGTAAAGCTGACTCTGTTGAATAACATGATTGGAGGACTTGCGATTGAATCGTATCAATCGCAACTCTATTCAACTTCTTTGATTCCATTTTTTAGGGGTGTAGTGACCAAACTCGTTTTGACCTTTTCAAAACTTGATTTTTCCTATAAGAACACCCTACAGCATTTTGGGTGTGGTTAATTTATACAAACGTGTAAGACCAGCCTAATTACTTTAATTGTCACGTGGGTTTGGTATACCTACTCTAAGGACTAAGTAGTCCGTCGATTATCTATAAAGTATTGTCCGTAGATAATGTTAAAATGTATCATAATAAAATTATGATATTTTCTCATGTATGTTTGCTGGTTACTGAAACGGATTATTATATCCGATCCAGAAGGATATGCGCTCATGCACGAAGAGTAGTCCTTCTGGATGTGGAGGTATATCAGGCAAGGCCCTGCTGGGCATTTATATAACCGACATTCCACTTACCTTAAACGAAGACGGTCGCACCATGTTTGATTGGAGTAGTCAATGTATTGCAGCTTGTATACAGGTATGTAGAGATAATTGAACTTGATATAGTTTTTACTTCGCTATCAGTGCAATTATAGGAATAGTGATGTTATACGATAGTTATCTCAATACATGAAAGTGTTGTTTTGCAGATTGACTTGAATTGTGTTGCGTCTTTACAGATGGCTTTAGATTTTGGGGGCGTGGCATTGGTTATGCCACATTACATAAGTATACGACTTTCGGAGCTTGGTATAGACATTTAGTTTGGATAATTACCGCCATGTATATAACACGGAATTTATTCCATATTTTTAATCCGGCATGTTGTTGGTGATATTTAATCACCTGGAATGAGAAGTTCAGTGTTTATGATGTCTTATACGAGGCGGTTCAATGATTGTGTATTATGTAATGAGATCTTTTATTCACCGTACGGTGGATTGATGAGTAGTCTACAAGCATCAGACTCAGTTTAGTAGCATGTGAATTTTACAACAAATATTGATTTAGATGATCAAGTCCATAGTAGATAATTGATGTTTCATTTTGTCCACTGTAGCCGCTGAGATGTGAGGTGCCTGTACGGGCTACCAAGCTTATTGATGACGTAGTTTTTCCTTACTAGGGTGAGTTACGTAGGATTATCTATGTTATGCAATTGATCGGAGTCAGATTATTTGATATCGATACATGTATATTGAAATACTAAGTATTTTTTTTTTTAATTTTTGTATTGCATTTCAATATATAAAAACTGAACTTATGAAAACTGCATTTGTCTACAGAAATCTGATCACTATCAATAAGATGATACCTCGCATGATTTTATAGTTTGATCATTGTACTCATGATGCTTTTGTTTTATCTTCAGTACAACGCAGGGGTATTTCTGTTCTTTTTATTCATACCACGAATAAGCACTACTGAACTTTACCATGGCGTCCTATACTCTTCTTTTACGTTTGGCGTTTATTTAAATGGTGGAGCAGCGAGTCCCACAGGACAGGGATATGATGTGCGTGTATGTCCATAATTAGGGACTTTTAGATTGAGTGGACGAGAACACGACGAACGCCGACTGATCATGCGTACTGCCCATGTTGACTACAATTATAAATCTTTTAGATTGCACTCGACGATATACATGCATGCAGGAAGTAACACTATGAACATCACGGACAAAGAAAGAGGACAAAATATACAGTTCCTCATTCTACCCTCAACAAAAGAACATCCCTTCACTGCTAATATGTAAAAATGTGTAGAACAGGTGAATATGCATGTGACACCTGTTCTACACATTTTTACATAATAGCAGGGAAGGGGTTGACGCATTCTCGATCGCCGACTGAGACGACGTAACGCATGCGCAGTGCCTTAAAATGACGTCACACGTTGCAGTCAAAGCTGTCGACGTGCAAATCTAAAAGTCCCTAATATGTGCCGGTGTACGCATAAAACATAAAACATACTTTGCATCAAATTAAAAATAGCGCATTTCCTTTATTTAATTGTGACGTCTATGTGACGTGTTCAAACTTTTCACCAAGATAAATTCTTTGAGCTGCAAAGCGTTTCCGAGGTAATGGGCCTGGTACTTACTAATAAACTACTTCTACTTCTACGACGATACTCAGCATGATCCATAAGTCAGGATGTAGTGCTGAGGAATAAACTATCTAGTTCTTGGTAGAGATACTGGGTGGAAGCGCTTCCTTGAAGCCCTCCAGTGAAGTAGCGTCAAGGGTGATCTTCGAAAGTGCATTCCACTCAGTTACTGTCCGAGGGAAAAATGAGTTCTGGTAGAGTTGGGTGCGGAATGGGATAGCCAGCAACTTCTTTGAGTGATACTGTCGTGTGTTGCTGGCAATCATGGGTGCTGTGTAATGGTGTGCATTGATGGCTGCTGTGTTGTTTTGGATCTTGTACATGAGGTGGAGGCTTGCAGCATTTCTCCTCCTCTCCAGGCTCTCCCATTTCAGATGTTGAATCATGGCCGAGACACTGGCCATACGACGATATCTCTGGAGGGTGAATCTTGCTGCTTGCCTTTGTACTGCCTCGATTTGGGATATATGCTTGTTTGTGTGAGGGTTCCAGACCGAGCAACAGTATTCCAGATGAGGTCTAACAAGAGAGAAGTAGGCTTGTTGGCGGATCTTTTGTGAAATTTTGCGGAGATTTCTGCTGACTAGTCCCAGCATCCGATTGGCAAGGGATGTGATGTTGTTCATGTGGCCTTGCCAGGACAAGTTGGATGAGAAAGTCAGTCCTAGCTACCGGACATCTGTTACCAACGTAAGAGGAGTGTCTCCTATCGTGTGTGTCGTGGTGATGGCTTTCCGACGTAGGGAGAATGTGATGTGGTAGCATTTCTTGGTGTTGAATGATCTGTGTGTTAGCCCATGTGTTAGCCCATGAATGCAGCCTGTTGAGATCTTGTTTTAGGGCTTGGCTATCAGTGACATCAGTGATCGGATGGTATAGAAGACAATCATCAGCAAAGAGTCGGATTTTGGAAGAGATCCCATCTACTATGTCATTGATGAAGGATATAAACAGAAGTGGGCCGAGAACTGCATGTGCCCTGCGGTACCCCAGAGGTGATCGACTGGAACCCATTCAGATGACTCTCCATCTACAACAACGTTGTAACCTTTCAGTTAGGAACACCCTGATCCATCAGATAAGGTTGTCATGGCCGGACCCCATAGTGAAGCATGGAGCTTATGGAGGAGGCGGTTATGGGGTACACGGTCAAAGGCTTTGCACGTCAAACTATTTGCATTGTCGTGTAAACGCTGTAAGGATTAATATTGTGTGTGTGTGTGCGTGTGTGTGTGTGTATTGGATTTTTACAAACGTGTATCAATCAGATATGATTATTGACGTCTGGGGACCGACCTTTAAACGTCACCATCCGAAAGACGTGACTCAGTTTCGAACTTACGTCCTCGGCTGAATCAGTTTGTAACTTCCACTTTTAGCTGGATTACAGGCACACACCACAACGCCTAGTTGATATTATTAATGTTTGTCATAGTCTTGATAAAGACATTGGGTAACTTAAAAAATATGTTGCCTAATAAAAACTGCTGGATTTAAAGCACCAATCTTCTCTTCGTCATCATCTTTTGCGTTATCATATCATGCTAACACGGCGACCTAATATCGGATATATAATATATAAATACAACTAGGCTAATTATTCTCTTTGTAAACGAAATTTCATTACTCACTGCCTTCTCTTTCACAAATGTAATACCCTTCGTTTGAAGTGTCGTCTGTAAGATCAAACCATTCTAGATGCTCTGTTACCATCATAAAACAGGTTCCCCCTAGATCGAAATCAAAAGATCCTTTGAAACTGTTAAAGATCATCTGTGAGCCGTCTTGCCAGGTGATATTGTCTAATCCTATCCAGTAATCTGAGCTAATGTCTGGAAGAATAGACACCAAGAAGTCTTGCTCTTCCTCGGATCCTATCGAGACCAGATGCATTCCATGAGTCTCGCAAATTGATTTCATCAACAGGAAGGTGTCAGGGAAAGGATAGACGTAAAAGCAGGACCCACCGTACGTGTAGTTGGTATGTGGGACCCCATCACAATCTGGAAGAAAGGGGGAAATTGATGGTAAAATCTCATGTTGATGATATTAACAAAGAAATATCTTAGGGGAAAACTGAATTCAGACGAGGATTAAGAGTCGAGAACTGAAAGAATCGTCTTGGTTCTCTAATGATTTAATGAAACTTAAAAGCTTCCGCGCTTCGCCCGGAGGGGGGACCCTGAATTCAGACAAGAATTATTTTAGAGAACGGTACAACGAATCGTCTTCTTTCTCTAATGATTTAATGAACCTTAAAAAGCTTTCGCGCTTCGCGCGGGAACTAAATTTAGACGAGGATCATTTTCGAGAACGGTACAACGAATCGTCTTCTTTCTCTAAAGATTTAATGAAACTTAAAAGCTTCCGCGCTTCGCGCGGAGGAGGGAACCTGAATTCAGACAAGAATATTTTAGAGAAAGGTACAACGAATTTTTTTCTTTCTCTAATGATTTAATGAACCGTAAAAAGCTTCCGCGCTTCGCGCTGGAACTAAATTTAATCGAGGATCATTTTCGAGAACGGTACAACGAATCGTTTTGTTTCTCTAATGATTTAATGAAACTTAAAAGCTTCCGCGCTTCGCGCGGAGGGGGAACCTGAATCCAAACGAGGATTATTTTCGAAAACGGTACAACGAATCGTCTTCTTTCTCTAATAATTTAATAAAACGTCAAAGGTTCCGCGTTTTGCGGAGGAGGGAGAGGGAAACTCGTCCCTCCCTACACCCACCCCTCTCGCATTACGTCACTGCTGGTCCCCATTACGTACCAATATTTGGCTCGCATAATTTCAAATTTGGCCCCCCCCCCCCCCCTAAGAAATCCTGGATCCGCGCCTGTCCACGGCGACCATACGTCGGGCGTACGGTGACCTAGCGGCTACCTTGCGTCTGCCTTAATATTTGTCAAACACCTACGGCCGCTGCAGGGACGGCCTAAGGCGACCGTGCATCGTCACTTTAAAGGCCGTACGGCAGGCGCAGGTTTTCTGTCTCCACAAATTCAAAATACGCCGTGCGGCTACCCTAACATGTGACTGCTACAGTATGCGACCATGGGAATGCTGCGGCGGCCCTATAATTCCTATTGGCCGTAGATATTTTAGACCCTACGGCCGCCGCGGCAAATGTGACCGAGGCATTAACGATACCATCCACTATCGAGCATATCCCCGGATGATCTCACTGTCCCCATTAGAACCTGTGATCAAGCGTCGTTGATGTTTAATTCCTTAACCTCCCCTTGTGATTCAAACAACAATCATAAGAGATGTTTGAAAAAACAAGTAACATGGACTTTTTGGTATTTCACTTTATTTTGCTCAGGAAAAAACTAATCATATATTCGTGCTTACCTCCTTCCTTTTCACAGATGGCATAGTGAAGGTTTGATCCGTCATCGTCGAGCCACCGGAACGAGGGCGACGACGACGAACTCATCACGAAATAAGTTCCTCCATCATTGAATGTCAAGGTGATGTCACCGAAATTTGCATAGGTCAGGCTCGAACTATCGAGCCAGGTCACAGCACTTAGCCCGATCCACGTACCGATAAATGGTGTTTGGTTTATCTCCAAAAAATCCTGTTCTTCTTGAGAACCTATGTAGACCAAATGCATTCCTAGACTCTCACAAAGGGCTTTGGATGTGTTGTAATTTGAAACAATTCCGGAGAAGTAATAGCAAGACCCTTGGAATTCGACAAGAGCTGGATCGCAGGCTACACACAAAAATGGAAAGGGGAGGAATAGATTATGCTGACATTTGTGGCAGCATTGTTAATAGCTATGCTTATTGTGAGTTATGTTTAACCACTTGACTGCTACCCACGTACATGTACGTGCTTAGGGCATTACACTTTTGAGACCTTAGCACTGTATAATGCCAACCCCTACTGTGTAATTAGCACAGCAATGATGTTATACAGGTCTTTAACAATAGATGGCGCTCTTCCAAAAAAATCTGGCTTTTTTTTTTTTTGTACAGTTTTTGTCAGGTTCTTGTACAGTACAAAAATGCAATAGCACCGGGGGTATGAACGCGTTTTAAGCCAATAGCAATCAAGTGGTTAATACACAACACATACAGTATCAACCAAAACTCGTCCCAAATGTACAGGGCTACAAAGTCACTTTATCAGCCGGACGATTTGTAGAAAACATAAGCCCTTGAAAAAGACAAAGATGTGAAAGTCAAGGGAGTCGTCTGACCCGACTGCATAATTATGGTCAACAATCTGCAAAATCAATCAATGCGTTTCAGTGAATATGATTCCCGGCAAGATTTTCGTTAGATTTGCTATAAACTGCTCATCTGATATGCTTCATGATACAATTCGGAATTCATTCGAGCCATTTTTTATTCTGGAAACCTTCGACAATTTACCTGATGTTTTGCCTTTGCAATGGTATTGTTACCCCGGAGTCTGACATTATTTCGTTGGTGATTACTTTCTTTGTAATCGGGTAAAAGTATTTTGTAACTTTTACCTTTTTACGATTCCTTAGCACTATGAGATTAGGTAGTAAATCTGGTGAATACAAGTACTTTAGCACATCCCCAGGAGACTGCAACAGCCCCAAAAAACGAACAGCCATCGTGACCGACAGCCAGTCAGGCTGATGTCTTGGATCTTCAATACCTTTTTAAAATATTGTTTGAATGATATCTAACTCCAGACAATGTCATGCACTTTAACGTACAAAGGACAATTTCAAATTATTTTTTTTTTTTTGCCAATATGAGTGTATAAGATTGTTTTTAACGCTTAGTAGTAGGTGTTTGCTAAAATGAATACATCTACGAAAAGCTATTATACATGTATCTAGGATTTGGTAAGAGGGGAGCGCAAAGTTCAGAAAACTTCATAACAAGAATAAATATTTCCTACTAATTGTGCAGGTAGATTATACATCTAACATTCTTAAAGGAGCGTAGAAAAAAAACAGGGGAGGGATATATTCGTGTTTGTGTGCGTGTGGGGGGGGGGGCTTCAGGGAAGCATGCTTGGATTTAAGGGGCCTGGCACAACCAGTGGAACACAGAATAACCCTCATGTAGGTCAAAGTGATATCTGAATAACAATGTTCAGTACTCACCGCCTTCTTTTTCACAAATGCAAGTACGCCTTCTGTCGACACTGATGATGTCATCAAACCAACGGGCTGGAAGCGGTATAAACATTTGGAAACAAGTTCCTCCGTCATTAAAATCATACGGATATCCTCTGAACCTGTTGTAAGTCAAGTTTGAACCGTCTTGCCAAGTCACACTGTCTAGTCCTATCCAGTATTCTGAGCTCTTGTCGGGTAGGTTGGAGACCAAGAAGTCCTGTTCTACCTTGGATCCTATCGAGACCAAATGCATTCCCAGATCCTCACAAGAGACTTTCGATGTGTAAAAGTCAGACGGGTTTCGAGAGAAATGGTACAAGGACCCATCGAATTCAACCTGATTCACATCACAAGCTGCAAATACAATCAAACAAGCAGATATTGCTTTATATATTGCTATATAATGAAATGTGTTTTATTCAAATAGTATGCTGATTCTAAGTTACTGGGATTGTTCCCATAGAAAAGCTGCTATAGGCTTGTATAACTTCATATCTTACACCTATACAAAGTTTATAAAGGGCTTTGCGATTAAAGGTTTCCATCTTGATGAAAAATCATCAGTTGAGAAATGATTTAAAAAGAACTACAGTTTTCCAATTTGATTGATGCATAAGATCCATAATTCTCAACTCTGGGGCTGGCTTGAGGTTAAACAAATTTTCAAAAGGCGGCACATTATTGTGTCCCCGCAAACGTACGTGCAATGTCCGTGTTATTAGACCGATTTACTAACAGTAATGCCTAGGTCACATTTGCCGCGGCGGCCGTGCGGTTTAAAATATCTACGGCCTATAGCAATAATAATAGGACCGCCGCAGCATTCCCACGGTCACATACAGTAGCGGTCACACAGTGTTAGGGTAGCCGCACGGCGTATTATGAATTTGTGGAGACAGAAAATCTGCGGCTGCCGTACAGCCTTTGAAGTGATAACGCACGCCGCACGGTTGCCTTAGGCCTCCCTACGGCGGCCGTAGTTTCTTGAAAAATACCAAGGCAGACGCAAGGTAACCGCAAGGTGCCCACTGGGCGGACGAATTAAGGGGACCATACGGCGACCGTGCGGCCAGATTGATGATACCGCTACACCCCTGGAGTATATAAAAATGCAAGGCCGCTCTACGGCAAGGCTACGGCGTTTTTAATTGCTACGGCGAACCTAGAAATGAAAAGAGCTATAACTCCGCGTTATAAACCCACGGCGACCCGTACGGCTTGTAAAGATAGGGATACGCTCTAGGGTGACCCTGAGGCCACCGCAGATTCTCTGCGGCGGCCGCAAGTATCTCTCGATTTCGGGGGCGTACGGGCGCCGTATCCTAGCCGTATAGAGCAAATGTGACCTATAGGCATAATTAACATATTCAAATTTACGGATGTTTCTTTCCTGGGGATCTAGTGACGACTTAATCCATAAACCTGTTATTCATGAATAAACTACAATACTTGGAATCCAGTCTGCATACATTAATTGTTGCTATGTCGGGCAAGCCTAGGACTTTTGTTTAAAAAGTATGCATACAATTTGAATATGTTAGTAAACCGGTCTATTGGTTCAGAAAAAGAAAGATTTCAAAAATAGTACGATGATATCTCCATGCGTTGCGGAAGTAGTCACGAAATATCAACCAAAAATAAAATAATCAAATTTTAAAGAATATAATCCTTTCATTTAAGAAGCATAGATGGGATTTTCTAACAATATGAAGGCATGAAATTTAAGTAAATTTTCTTGTTTCAAATTTCAAAATACACCTTTTTCACGAATGTGTTTTTCATAAGAGTAATTTTATGACCCGGCCGGCTCCGATTCCTTAACTTAAACCTTCATGGTATTTTGTTGTGATTCGTATGTACTAGAATAGAATAGAAAAAAATAGGAAAGATGGAATTACAAACCTTCCCCGGTACTGAGATATATTTGTGTACTGATCACAAATGCGAGAGTGTAAAAAGTAAAGTCCATCTGTAAGATAAAAAACAATTATTATTAGTTCTGGTCATGCGATTGTATTGTGAAAGAAACGTTTTGGAATCGATCAGAAAAGGTTGGTGTTGGTGTGTACTGCAAGGTTCTGGAATCATCAAAATGATAAGAAATTTGGCCCAGTCTTGGTAAAGTTACAAGCACGTACTGTACACAGAAAGATGTATATGGGACTACACGAACATGTGGCATAAATATCCGTCCCGATTTGTATGATGTTACATGCCATATTTAGAATATTAAGACATTTAAAGAGCCATGCAATTGCAGGGAATAATTTTTTCTCTGAAGTTCTTCCACACTTGCATAATACAATGATAACGCGCACACAAATTATTGTTACCTCTTCCCAGAACTCAACCTTTTCTTGAATACGACCAACAAAAGAATAACATTTTCATCAATATTTTGTACTTATTTTCCCATTTTCAACCTAACTACACGAACGTGCCGATCGACACTGTATAATAAGCAAAACAAACACAAAATTATGTCAAGCTACGAAGTATGAAATTAAGTGATACATAATGGTTTAACATATGCAATAAAAAACAAACTCTGATTTGTTGTCCTATATCAAAGGGACAATCGACCGGGCGAATCGCATTTCACCAACACACGCACACCAACACACGCAAACCCACACATACGCACACGCTCACATAGACGAACGCACCTACATCACCCCACACACACCAACAATATAATATCTACACACCGCACACACACAATCCTGCGGATAACACCAATAACGGAAAATCCGATTCTTTCCCACAGATTAATACTTTACTTTGGGTATCAGATGCCTTAGGTTTTGAAAATAGGTTCTAAAGCTTTTCTACGTGTTCTAAAAGATATTTTTATGAATAAAACGTACCTCGAGTTTATGAAAAACTCTGGCAAAATCCAGGTTTTAGGGAAGAGGACGACTTACAAGAGACCAATGTCTTCCTCCAATGATGGCTATGAGGTGATCTATTATCTGAAGCAAATCATTATATTATTTTGGAAGTGAAAAAAAAATGCTATCGACAATGGCTGACAAAGTTTTCCAATAATCGATATATGAGAAGGCACTTCATGCCTAGACAGTCACGTTCAATTAGTGTACGTGCTTCTACACGGGAGAAATAATTATGTTCTTTCTGAGTGAACGTGCTTCGCTATATTTTTCATGATTGATCAACTTATTTGAACAAAGGGGGGATCTATACAAGAACATTTTAGGTACCTTGAAACAGGATGAATAGAAATAGACATTAGAACAGGAATGAGGCGTACGGTATTTATGTTTAATTAATGCTGAATTTAAAAGCTACATGAAAAGGGATCGCGTCATTTCATAAGGGAAA